CTCAGATAATGTTCACAGTTAGTTTGTATCATATCATTTTTCTGAATTTGCAGATGTGAAAATTTTGTGCATCTGCAGCTGAAGACTTTTAGAGCACAGAAGCCTTTATAATTGCAGGCTTAGAAAAATTTCAACAGATACTGCTAGTAAGGAGATTACATATTCTCAGATGGCTATAAAATGCCAGATAAAAGATCTAGATGATGGGGCAATAGTAGCATGAAATTGATGGGGTTTTAGACAGTCGACAACATTCCCAGAAGAAGCAACACTCCAATCTTGTGCTCTGTTGTAATGGGAGGGTCAAGTGAATTCCATCGCCATCAATGTAATTTGCCGTAAATGTTGTTAAGGTCTGGATGAAGTAACTGCGTTGCTGTACATGTGCTCCTATCCTATATGTTCTTACTTTCTCTGTAGGCTGAATTTTATTTGAATGTTCATCTTAAATAGTATTTTTGTCAAGGAAATACTAAACTTAGGAATGTCAAAGCCAAAGAAGTCTCCTTATAAATATAGCAGTAATTGTTGCTGGGAAGTGGTTGAGAATTCTATAGCTCCTGGATAGAGCAAGTGATGGCTGTGAATAGCATTAACTAATCGTCTTACAGCTTTACCTTGTGTCATCAAAAAAGTAGTTCATAAGGTGGAATAAAAATCAAACCCAGGCATGAACAGATAGTTAAGATTAACAGTACATAACATATAACTGAAAACTTTACAGGCTTTATTTTGCAAGTTGCCTAGTTAAGATTTCCAAATTAATGTTGCTACGTTATTATGCCTATGCTCAGGTACTTTGCTGTTGATGCTTGAGCTCCGTTCTATGCTGAAATTGAAATATGCTTTGAAAATGAGAACTGTACCTTTATTAACTCATCTTCAGTTTTCTACTGAACCAACTAATACAGGTGTCTGTAATAGTGCTGCAAAATTAATGGTACCGTGCATAGAGCGCTTTTGTGATCATTAGAGCATCCCCCAAAAGGTTCAAACGACAATACCAGCCTAATTTGGTGGTTGGGACTTTGAATTCTGAAATGTGCAAAGACTTAGGATTGTTTGATGATTCCTTTAAAGCTTAGCTCAGAGGAGGAGACAGTTCAAACTACAGACCTGACAGAAAGAGGCAAGGAGAACAGCAGAGCATTACTTTTTCTCCTAGAACGTCAGCTAAAATAAGAAAAGTCAACGCTTACTGGTGTTAGTCAGTCAGATCCTTAAGAGCTCTTCTCTGCTGAATGTTAGCAAGTCTGTATCTTCTTCACAACATGGACTGAGAACTTGAGTACTCATCTCAGTCTTTCAAGCTAAGTTTTTAATTAAGTGTGTGCTTCACATCATTTTGTTCTCTATTTTTCTCAGGTCTGTCTGAAAGGAACTTGCCTCAAAGGGATGAGGGAGGACGAGAGGGAATCTTGGGAGATGGGTGAACAGCTCCCATACCTCAAGATCAGATGGGTGTCAGGGTTGAGGGTGGGAGAAAAGGGATCCTTTCCTTCAGTCTGGTCCTGTCACGTAGTACTGCATCCTATTTAGTCACTGTAACCAGTAGCATACCCTAGTTCCTGTGCCTCCTTGGCTAATGTCTAGCCAGTCAGAAAGAGAGTTGGATAAACCCCCTAAATATCACCTATTCTTGGCGCTGCTGGAGTTGGAAGAAGTGGGGAAGGCAGTGACACCCAAGCCTGAAATGTAACCGTGACCCAGCACTGGCTGTTCTTGTCTCGGTTCTGATTCCTCCCTCAGTTGCAGCCCCTGAATCTCCACGATGCAGGCATAGGCAAAGGCGACACTTTTTCTGATATTTCCCAGAGCTGTTTTACACCCCTATGAAACCTATAGGTAGTTGTAGATACTGTGACAGTACTGCTGCAGGACTGCAATACCACTGTGCTGTGTTTCAAACACAGTTTGAAAAGTACCAAGTTAGTAAGAAGGTTGTGTGACTACGGTTTGCGATACTCACTGGTTGTTAGTGGCTCTTTCCATTCTGGCTGAAAGGGAAACAATTTTACAAGGTTCAGGCTTGTCCCTAAAGGAGTAGAGTGCTATGAAGTGGGTAAGCGGTGTCAGAGCATAATACTGGCATCATATGATTGCTATACCATACCGTTGTCCGGTGCACTGCCCATTGCTGCCACTTTGTCAGTGCCTGAAGCTGCCTTTGATATGCAGCATTACTCATCAAGCTTCTCCTTATGTATGCGTACGCTTATATTTACATTTTAACTTATTTTTGTTTGCTGGTTACCTAGTGGGAGATGAAGTGAGCACTTTTTTTTTTTTTTTTTAAGCCAAAGTGAGGTGCTGTAGTTAAGCTTCTAAATACGTTTTTAGGTTTCTGTGGTCAGAAGGGTTATTTCTTGTTCTCGTCTATAGGTCTTCTCACAGTGAAAAACTGACGTACCTATAGTATTGCTAATAATTTCTGCTGTCTCTGTATGCTTTCATTTGTGGCAAAAGAATCAATCGCTTTTTGAAAGAAGGGGTTAATAGATTTATATCTGTCCAAAAGTATATTAGGAGGAAAGATTAAATTCTTACCTCTTAAGTGGTAGAAGTAGAATGCTGTTATGTTGCATTTCAATTTTGGGTGGTAATTCATCCTTATTAAAGACTTAATGGGATGCTGCCAAAGCACAAGACAGTTTGTATCCTTCTGAAGTCAGTTATGAAGCTTTACTAGTTCAAAACACGATAAGAATGTCAATATGTATTCTTCTTGCCTATTTCATTTTTTTAACTAATCTTCTGATACTCTAAAAGTAAACATTAGTCATACTTCTGTAGCCTCTGTGAGTTTGACTCATGATTTAAAGATTTGAAAGTAATCCATGTTAGTAAATCTCTTTCTTGTTTCCTTTTTCAAGTTCTAGGGTAACAACATTGGCTGGGTTTTTGGTGCATTTTAAGTCCGGTCCGTAGCTGGCTGGATTGTATGCATCCTGTGCAACATGGAGGTCCTGCTTTCTCTCATACCGTGCTCCAGGCACTTGGCACTAAACAAATTAACAATAGACCTTGCTATACTAAGATAAGAGGCTAATTTTACAGGTACAGCATTTTGTAAATCACATTATAGTTGACAGTTCAGAACTGGAGAATTAATTAATATTCAGAAATGTAGTCAAATGGGAATAGTTGCAGGCTTATTAGAAAGAAATGTCACATTGCTGTTTGATACAGAGATTTCTAGGTCAGAATGACTGATGTTTGTCTGAATTTTCTTATATAAACATGACTTATTACTTCTGAAAGTCCACAGTTTCATCTATTAACGTATCCCATATAACTGCTTCTTTAACATGTAAGAGAGTGTTCCTGAAAATACTGCACTCTCTCTTTTTTATTTACTTCTTTTTAATGTCACTTGACCGATGCTGTGATAGTTCAGTCAGTGGAAACATGCAAGTTTGCTGACATCTGGACTTGAATTTAAATTCTTTTTGTTCTTTCACTGTGTAGATGAAGAAATCTCCTTGTGACCTCTGTGTGGTTGCGCTTCCGATATTAGACTTGTTGTACTGATTAAACAAGTGGGAACTTGATGGGTCTTACAGTCTTGAATGACATTAGCTTTATTCTGTTGAAATAAATTAGTTCAAAGTAAACCTGTGATATTTTGGGAATCCTAGATATACAAAACATTTTGATGTAGTTCTATAACTTGTGTTAGAAGTGATGCGTGTTACTGATACAAGTGGATACTTTCATGAAATAGACAAAATGAAAAATACACATAAGCTTTTCTAGTCTTGAATACTAACTGTCTTTGGAAGTCTTTCATGGTGGTTTGCTCATCTAACCTGCTGTCTGTTACGGTATTCCATTTAGTCATCTGAACTTCTACTTAACTAATTAATATAATCTTTAATACTTCTTTAACTAATGAATTTCACATTGTTATCTAAATTTCAATTAGAATATCTATTAGGAGAGTTGGGTTTGTGGATGTTGCTTGTTTCAGAAGTGGTGTTCACCCAGGCTTTTCTAAGCCTAAACTTTCTTTACAAAACTTTACAGCATCAATACCTGTAGCCTTGTTAGTTTGGCTTTTGATCATGAGAGAGTTGCAGTTTGGGGTAACATGCCCTGCAGTTCTCACAGCAGGCTGATACCTAATTTGCAGAATTAGTGGACTTTCTAATAGTTGAAAGGTTTTTCTATCTGAAGTTTGAGAAGTTGGAAAAATCACGTACCAGAAAAGTAGAAGATTAATGCCTTGATGGCAATCCATCAATGTTCTTTAATGGTATATGGGCACTGTGGAAGACTGAACTGAAGGTATGCATGGGAGGACTTTTGTTCTACAAGGAATTTTCTGCAGCAGAGAACGTACAAACTTCGAGGATGAAACTTCATCTACATAGATTCTACGTTGTGTAGATTCTTATTGATTGAAAGAAAAGAATATGTCAAGGCTGGTAGTTTGATAGTGTGAACAACCAGACTCATTCTCTGTGTTGCATATTATCACATTACGTCACCTCTCAACGTTACGTGAAATAGAGCAGCAGCAGATGTACTGGGTAGCTATCCTGTCTCAGAATGGGAGTCTTGCATTGATTCTTCCATGATCTTAATTCTGCTTAAGTGGTATTCTGGATGTGGTGAATAATTGGTTGATAGACTACATTTGAAAACTAGCTTTAAAAAGGAAGGCAGAAAATGACAGGAGTGTTTGTCAGAGTGATAGAGAACTTTTTAATGTTTACAAAAAAAAAAACCAACAACAAACTGTGGCATTTCATCTGTATATATGCACTGGCTGTAGAAATGAACAAAATATACTGGTTTGTAACTGAGAGCTTAGTAATTTACTTTAAAACTTCATAGATTTAGCAAGGACCATTATACTTGTATACTAAATGAGATGCTAAAGTTTAATTACTTGCTAGGTTGTAGAAAACAGATGACTTAAGGTACGCTTCACACTTAAGTTCTCCCCCCCCCCCCCCCCCCCCCCCTTCTTTTCCTCTGTTTCTTTCTAGGTTTAACTATAGATCAACACATCATCTTGCATCCCATGGGTTTTATGAATTTTTAAATTGGTTTGATGAAAGAGCATGGTATCCACTGGGAAGAATAGTAGGTGGAACTGTAAGTATTGTCATGATAACTTAAAGATGACTTTGTAGTAAGTGGTTTGTTTTTTGGTTGGGTTTTTTTTTTTTGAACTTTCAATACTAATTCAACATTGATAAAAGGAGAATCCTAATGAAATATGCTTTTAATTGTCAAACTGCTGCAGAGGAAATAGCAAGATGTTTTTAATTTTTAGCTGCAGGAACTAAGACAGTAAGTCAACATGGTTTGGTCTTTATCCAACAGCATACTGTGAACAAGAAATACAGAACTGAGTTTTACTTCCTTACATATGAACTTCTAATAGTAATAAATAAGGTTATTATGACTTCTGTAATTCTGGTACATGAAATTAAAAAGGCAAACAAAACTTTTTTTTTGAAAACAGTTATCTAAATCTCTTAAGGCATAAGTTTAAATCCAGTGGTGTATTTTGGGTGGACTTCGTGTGTGTATCTAAAATGTTAGGATTTCACTGGGGAAAGACCTTTTGAAATTAAATCAGTGGGACACCTGTATGAAACATCAGGAGCAGGTAAGATTGGTGTCGATGCAAGTTACAAGACAGGAAAGGTGTATGAAACTATTGTCAAATCAGAATGCAAATATCGTTCATTAGTAGAATAGTTAACAGCCACATGTTACTTAAGGTGTGAAAGTGCATTAAAACTTTTTCATTATAGTGCATACCATTTAAATTCATTTAGGAAGTTTGTTGTAACAATTAGATCACCATTTGTTTTAGTGTCTTAGAGATACTTGCGACTCTTTTTATGTAACTTATATATGTGTTTTTTCCATACCTGTCTTATATGAAGTAAAAACCCTTAGGAAATAGAATTGAAATGTTGATTGCATACATTATTTTGCAAGTCACATGGTATATTATGTTTTAATAGTCTATCTTGAAAACCGTCTCTCAAGGATATGTGCAGGGGAACATTCTGTCATCTGTTAATTTAATTTAGTACAATGCCCTTCTTAGCTTTCAAAAGAAACTAAGGCAGGTGAAGCCCATATTAACTTTTCTAGTACATATTGGCTTTTCTAATGTTGATAAATGTGGGAGGGTAGAATTCCTATTAATATTTTAATGTTCTCCAATATTCTATGATGGGTTCAATAGATTGTGTAAGTCTATGCTACCTTTCCTGGAGGACATCTTAATTCAATTTTATAGGACTTTATTTTAATCCTTCACATCCAAAGATGTCTACGGATGTCTTGCAAATATATAATACTCAACTGACTGTCAACTTTTCAGTTTAAAAAAAAAAAAATCTTGTTGATGCACATTTTCTTTCTCCATGGGTAATGAGAAGTGAAAGAGTGGCATGGTGTATTTTGAAGGAAAATGGATAGGGCTGGGAAATGCTATTGGGTTTCTTCTTTTTGTCTTAGGGTTTTGGGGTTTGCTCTTTCCTTAAAGCTGTTAGCTAGTTTGAAATTCTCTTGCAAACTTCAGCTTCTGCTTCCATACCTTAACGACAAATTCTCATTATATGATAAATGTCAGGCAAGGTAGGATATTATCTGTATGCTGCTTATTCATTTACAAAATGGATTATATGTAATTGTTAACATTTGGATAAAATTTAAAGAACCTGTGGTATTCAGCAGTGTTGTCAAAACATGATTAAAGTAGTATTAAAATCATTCCATTAGGTTTACCTGCTCACTGCTTATATCAGCTTCAGAAATGACTATTTTGTTGCAAATTATATGCAAATAACCTTACTATGATTGTTTTCTGCAATAACCTAGTGGTTCTTTTTGTTTGTTTTTTTTTTTCTCTTCCCCCCCTCCTTTTAGGTATACCCAGGGCTGATGGTGACAGCAGGCCTTATACATTGGATTTTAAATATGCTTAACGTGACAGTCCATATAAGAGATGTATGTGTGTTCCTAGCACCAGTTTTTAGCGGCCTTACAGCTATTTCTACTTTCCTGCTCACCAGAGAACTGTGGAACCAGGGAGCAGGGCTTTTAGCTGCCTGTTTTATTGCCATAGTTCCAGGTTACATATCCCGATCAGTAGCAGGATCATTTGACAATGAAGGCATAGCTATTTTTGCACTGCAGTTCACATACTATTTATGGGTAAGTAATTGCTGAGTCTCTTGCTTTGGAAAGGTTTTTTGGTTCCTCCTCCAACCAAATGACTGATTTTTTCTTAGAATCCATTGAATTCTTATTTTCCTTCCTCTCATCCCTCTTCCCCTTGGCTCTTGATCAGGCAAGTACTGAGAAGTCACATGATCTGAACCACTCCATAATCATGCTCTTTAGTTTGCTATGTAAAAGCACTGTTCAACTGAAGTATGTGTGTCCTATAGTAGTAGTAATAATAATGATGATAAGTCTATAAATTTAAAGCAAACAGAAGGGTTGTTTCTGTTTTTCAGCTTGGAGGGATTAGTATTATGTCAGCATCAAACTTTAGCCTCCTTATTTAGCTGGTGAAAAGCAGTAGACTCTGAATAAAAAGTGCTTTGAATTGTGTTCTGGAGAAGCTGTTGACTGTATGGATCTAGGCTTTGACTTAAGCGTCCAAATTAAATACCCAAAGCTGTCCAGAGCAAGATATTGATATTGCTTGCATTCTTAAAAAAAATAGCCTGATGTCTTCTAATTTGCCTACTTACTAGTGCAGCTTATCTGCCACTCCGTAATCTGTATGTAGAATTGCATCTGTAATGCAGTTCTGTATGAAGGCGTTTAGGCAATATGGAGTTTTTCTGGACTGTTGCATCTATTTTGGAAATATCACAAATAGCAGAACTATATTGTTAATTCAGCATAGACACTGTTTGGTACTGCCCCTTGTGCATTCCTTGAATGCATATACTTTTCTATTTTGAGTGTCTCCATGTACGTACATGGTCATTACAGCTTTTCCCATTATTTTGTCAAGAGTTCTACTTTTCATAGGCAGATGCGTACTCACACGTTTTTTTAGCTTTAGAATATTTTGAACTTGGGATATTGTTGATAGGAGTATAATGGAAGGGAATTCAAGTTTTTCATGACTGACTGACTGGTGTTACTTAAATGCAGGTTTTTTAAATCTGGACTTAGAATAAACTGCAGCTGTAAAGGTATAGTGTGTTTGATAACAAGAATAGAATCAACCTACATTGTTACTTTATAATAACTGAGATATGATAGCAGTTGTCTGTTCTTATGGAACTCACACTTAACTAAACTGCATAGTGCAATAATGTTTGCATGAACTCTTGTAGAATTATGTGTGAATCAAATATATTTTATAGATTACTTTCTAGCTTTATTTAATGTCATTTTCTCATTCCTATTTTCCCACACTACAATCACCACCATCAGTTTTGGACAAAACCATACTCCTGGGCGTTTGTGGATCCTGCTAAACCTTTAGTAGTATCTGGATGCGCTCATTAACCTTAAGTGAGTTTTTCAAAATTACAGAGTAGCTCTATTATCTATAATTGCAGAGTCTGATGCCAGCCAAAGCCAGCCATGGATAGTCTACACTTAGAATTCTAAAGTTGTGTAATGTCTCAGAGAAAGTAGCACAGAGGTATTGCAACTGCTTTTCTACCTCAGATCATGAAGCAGAGAGTTGCATTGCATCCTGCCTCTGCTTTAACCGGAGAGATAGGTATAAGCTGTGTGAATGAATTGCACTTGTGGTTTGGTTTTGTGGACATCAGTTCAGTAGCATACAAATATAATTTTATATGTGCTAAAGAAGTTCCCTAGTTGTTTTGGAATGAAATTTTGGAATATTGTCCAGTATTTGTTCGTCATTCATAAATACTTGGTTACTTTTAAAGGTGAAGTCTGTGAAAACTGGGTCGGTCTTTTGGACAATCTGCTGCTGTCTATCCTACTTTTACATGGTAAGCCTTTTATATATGTAATAGCTAAACTATTTGAGTAGGGCTTACATAATCCATATGTTGATGAAGAACAGAAGAAGGAGATTTTAATCTTTGGAGCCATGATATAAAATTGTTGCTTCATATTACTATTAAAACCTTAAATATATGAGTAAAAAGACATAGTAAATATTTTGAAATTTAAAGTATTTAAATAAACACAATGAAAACAATTTTTGGAAAAACTCTAAGTGTAATAACTTTACTTACAAATTTATCCTATGCTGTGAATAGGTACTCTGATTCAGTGGGATTGTTGGTTTGGTGCAGGTGAATTAAGGTAGAATTTTGATATTCATGTGTCTGTGTGTCGTTATTATTAAAACGCAATAATAATAATTATTAAAATTTATGGACAAAGTTATATAACTTATATTACTTTGAAAGCTATTTCTTTGGGTATAATTATGCCGTAAAGTAAAGCTTACCACCAGAACTGCTGAATGAATTCAGTGTCAGATTAAACGATCATAAAGTCCCTTTTCGTTCTTGATCTATGAAAATGGAGGCTGTTGTAGAGATGTTCCTAAGGGCTAACAGAGGGGAAAAACAGTAGTAAAATTGAGGAGAGAAAACTAATAGCAAAATGGAGGGAATTGGTTTCCCCCCTCCTCCATCTTCTGAAACCTTGGACGTGAGGAATTTTCCTGTATAAATCAGTCAAAGGTCCTTTTTTCCCCCTAACTGATAAACTTTTTTTGTGGCTATATGAAAAATAAATTAGCCTCAAAATAGCCAGTGGTGGGACAGTCGAGCTAATTGCTTGGTGTTGGTTAAGTTGAGGTCTCAAATATTACTTTTCTACAGTCAGGTAGCTAGGCTTGCAAGAAAAAGGAACTGTTTTGCGTGCCTTAATTTAAAGTACAAGGTTAATTCAGAGGTTATCTGGATGCTGCCTAGTTTTCCTCTAGCTTTAATGTTCAGTAGGTTTTCTGGGAGATTTTTGCTGTTAATACAGCAAATAGCAGCTCTGTATATGTCACCAAGGAGGAGAGCTATCTCTATCTACATTTATTCCCCCCTCCCCTTTCTCCTCCTTTTTGCCAAGTTGTTAAATAAACAGCTACTTCTTTATATAGCATTCTGTTTATATAGCATTACAGTGAAGAGATCCTGTAGGTTTGGTACAGACTTATGTGCAGTACAAAATCGGGCAAGTAAGTTTCTGAATTGTTATATTTATATGCCGTAGTCTTTTTTATATTGTGGCAGTTTATTGGCAAGATCCTCTAAAGTGCTGTTCATAAATATGCAGATAACAAATATGACACTTTTGCAATTTTACTGCTGAAAAATCAACACAATAACAAGTTCTTCCCATCTTAGTCTGACTAGTGTCTTGGTCTGTGGGATTGTACGAGAGGGAGGGGATGTGATCTAGAGTAGTGTGCATGGTGACAGAACGTATGGAATCTATGTCATCATCGTGACATTCAATCCTTGAATGTAAATTAATGTTTTTTCTTTTATTTTCCTTTCAAGTGCTGTCAACCGGTGAAAGGTTAAGATTTGTCCATAGCTTAGCCTCAGTGATTAGATGATAGAATTTTATTGCTTACAGTGTGTACCTACTTCATCCCTGGTGGTGGCTTTCCATATACTGTATTTCCCTTTAGGAAAGAGTTTTGTTAAGATGCCCTTCTAGACATTTTGCTTAGGTAGATTTTTAGGACAAAGCATAATTGTACTATTCATTATATAGTATTCATTTGTCTTTCTCTGATGGAATTAGTTATGTTTTCTGTGTAAGTTGAAAATTAAATCAAATCACAATTTTGAGGTAGTAAGAGTCAGTCCTTGCATGGGGAGTTTGGGGAACAGCTCCTTGAAACAGAAATGGATATTGCATGGACTGACAGAAATCTTTCTTGATACCTCAATCTGCTTAAAATACATACCTAACTCACTGTGGTAATTTCACTGATAGCATCGCATTGCATTCCGTAAGGAGAAGGGTTTTTTCTTGCATTTGTATTTTTAGCATTTTTTTTGACTTAAGCAACTTCTGCTTCAGGTAGCTTTTTATGACAAGGAGATAAAATAAAACAAAGCTTTACATTTAAGCAGTCGTTGTAGAAGTAATAGCATGTTTCCACTCTCTTTGCCAATCTATGAGGATGCCTTAGTTTTGTTTGAAAAGTTCCAAAGTGCATTTTCAGTTCAGTACAATCTTCAGTGCTTAGATTTGGTTTTATATATTGATAATTAGAGATGCAGGTCTCTGGTCCATACAAACTGTCTGCTGCCTGCTTCATTCAAACCTTTCCCTAAATATGACAGTGTCCTAATTGCACATTTGTTCTCATTCTATTCTGTCTTACCTGTCTTCATATAGTATTTTCTCCCAATAAATAAACTTGCCTGTGTAAACCATGATAGTTCATGCTAGTAACTAGGAATAGGATCATGATAATCTGAAACGAGTTCCTAGAAAATTTAGAAGATTTCTATTCTACTTGTTTCACGTTGTCTGAATCAGTTACCCCAAATTTTGAAACGCTATGTTTTGTAGTATTAGTATCAAAAAACAGTACTTGGCCTCATCCATATTTTAGAATCTGTTCTATAGAACATAGTCATTTGAGTTTCTTTTTGGATTCTAGAGCTTTAAAAATACCTACGTGATTCTAAGCCCCAGAGTACAATTAAAGTGAAAACCGCATTTGCTAGTGCATTCTAAAAATGAAGATCTAGGGTAGGCATGGTACATATGGGAGAAGTCTAGTCTGTAATTTTGACAAGAGGACATGTGTTAAAATACAGATTGTCTAGTCAACATTAGCCCTTCTAAATATGTTAGAAATTTAGATAACACGTTGTAATGATAGCTCATTAAATCTTTATCTAAACCAGCAATCAGTGAGATGTTGATAACATTGTAGTGTTCCAGTTATAAGTACATCATACCAGTGCTTCTCAAGTGCTGCTGTTACTACAGGTTCACAATATCCACGATGTTGTTGCACACCATTCCACAGTGCTCAGCCCTGCTTCCCTGTGCATCCACCCCCTTCCTTTTGTTTCTTTCCTTACACTGCAGCTGGCATTGGCCGCTCTGCTCCAGGAGTTCTGCTCCCAGACGGTAACTTGCTCCCTTTCTCCTGTCTGGCTGGAGATACTGTTCCCTGTCCCCACCAAAAAGTGCAGAGCATGGTGCTAAATTTGTATGTCAAAGGAAAATTTTGGATCCTACGTGGGACTCCTGCTGCTGCCTTGTGCTGCAGCCTTTACCATGGGAAAAAGCCCCCAGCATCACTTTCTTGTTTGCTAGCGTGACCAGATTAGCTTGGGAGGAGGAGGAAGGATAGCCTTGAAAATCCACCAGCCCATTTCAAAAGTCTTTAATACTTTGATATGTGGGGTTTTGATGTTGTTTTTTTTTTTTCTTTTTTGATAATAAATATTGAGAAGGATTCTGGTGGTATCACTAGTAGTTCTGACTGCTTGTCTAGATGGGGTTTGTGTTTTCTTGTTAGACCATCAGGATGTATAAATCCAGCATCAGCTATCCTAAGAATTTGCAGATATTTTCGGATCTAATTTCCTATTCCATTTCTCATAGGTCTCTGCATGGGGTGGTTATGTTTTCATCATCAACCTTATTCCACTGCATGTGTTTGTTCTTTTGCTGATGCAGAGATACAGCAGGAGGGTCTACATCGGTAAGTTTTGTTCATTGAACAGTCATTCTCAATTGCTGAATCATGAGATTAATTGTACGAATCATGAAATTAATTATGCTGATGTGTTTTGTATCAAATGACAATTAAGTAATTGCATCAGGTTGCATTTTATTAATTTGATTACTGATTATAGTCAGTTATTTTCTACAACACGGAAATAAGGAGTTAAAACATACACTTTCAAAATTTCACATATGTAGCTGCTGATTAATTTTTTCCTTTCTCGTGCACTGAAAAAAAAAAATTGGATGGTTTGATATTTGTAGAATCCTTTTAATATATATTTTATATATATATATAGTATGTGTGCGTCTGTAATAATGTTTCATATTTTTGTCTTTTCACAGTATGTTTAACAATTGCTATTTTTAAGAAGTTGTACAGCAGTAATTATGCATATAGTGGATTGTGACATGTATAAGACAGACATAGGGAATTTTAAGCGGCCATGGATGTTTTTTATAAGCTAGACTAAAAAGTAGCGTAAAAGTGTCCACTCCACGTGAATCCTTACAATTTTATTGGGTTAATGGGTCAGCCTTCCTGCCAGTTTCAGGAATGTGTGAATAGTGATCTTAGGAGACTAACTTTTTAATTGATTTGCCTGACATTTAAATACTCTGTGAACTGTTCTTACAGAGACTTTACCAGTTAAATCAGTTGACCATGGTGTAGGTGTGTGAATGAAATAAATAATAAGCAATTTGAGTATTCAGAGGTTTACAAGTTAGCTAGAACGTTTTTGACTCCCTAATGTGAAATCTTTACCATAGATAGTTTGAGAACATAGTATGAGTTGAAGTGTAGTATCACAGGATGTTTCATATTTGTAAATACATTTTCATTACCCATTTTAATACTGTTTTTTCTTTGTATTTTTAATTATTTTAATGCTTTTGTTTAGTGCCTGCTGGAGAAATTACTATATTTACATAGATATTTGAACCATTATATGCTATAATATTTACTCAGTTTACTCAAGTTCAGTTTCGTATTTTTGTTACCAAAACTATAAATATTGGTTTCATGCTTCTTTGTTAACCTATTTGTGTAGTTCAGAAATGGAAATTATTTTGAAAAAAAAAAAAAAGCTCTAACCCACCTTTAATTTTTAATGTTAGTATTACTTAACTTCTTCATCGATTACTTCTTCATAACTTAAGGGGAAATTTATCTTGGAGTGCTTTTAAAATTGTTTCATTGAATATTTTCATTTTCCAATTTCTGTGAGTTAGGCAAGAGAAAATTAAATCTACTAATTATAAAATCCTGAAGCAATGTGGTAACCAGAAACAATAAAGAATAAGCACTCTTGCTTTTTCAGCTTTGAATGAGCTAGTGTTTGAACTCATCTGGGGAAAATAGTACTGCAGGTTCATATGAATTAAAGGTTTTGGCAGATGTTTGTTTTGCAAATAGCTACAGTGTTTTGAGATGTTATTGCCCTTCAGCTGTGAGGGAGGTGTACTTCATCAGAGTTGTCAGAATGAAAATGTGATTGCTGCTCTGCTGTTTCATTGCAACAGCGGGCTTAATTTAAGCTTTCACGGGAAGCCTTACACACAGAGAAGTCTGTACGTCTCGTATTAGCATGTGATTTCTAGGTTTGTTTAACAGGATGTTTTTGTAAAACAGGTAAGAATGTTCAAGAAGGATGTTCCTTCTAGAAGGAAATTAAAGTGTGCTTCACTTCCAAACTATTCAGATAGGGAGAAGAGTTTACAAAAGCTCATTGAAGTAGCGAGAATAAAGATATTTTTGGAGTTTCTGTGATGTGCAGTTCTAGTGTGCCTGCAGCAGTCTCATCGTTCTCAAAAAACTACCAATGTGCAGCTAAAACTTTTGTAAGCAATTGGCAGCTGACAGTAGCTAGTAAAATATGCATCCATTTTACTATTGTCAAGGATTTGGAGGTTTTTAATCTCTTGATCAGTTGCTTAATTTTATTTTAAACTAGCCTGAGCTTAACTTTTGTAACAGATGAATGTTTATTCTAACATAATAACGTAAACATAGAGAACAATATTTGGTAGCACCAAGTTTTTAAAAAGGCGATCGTTTCCTGGTATGTATTTTTCATATGGGTGTTCATACACCAAAGAAAAGGTTAATGCGATATGATCTGATATGCCTGGCAGTGTAATTCAGAATCATTTAATGAGTAAAAATTTCCCAGGACGTGAACTTTTTGCCAATTTTAAAATATGACTTGCAGGCAGATAAATTTATCAGCCAGATAACTTCTGACCCAGTTGGCATCGATGGTGATCATGCTACCTACATTTGAAAGCTTAAGCTGTGCTTTTTTTTTTTTTTTTTTTTTCTGTCTTGACAGTGGTCTGTATCTTTCATTCATTCAGATCTTACTAGCTTAATAATTAAGAACAAGTGCTTATGATTCCAGTGTATTAGCAGCACTTGTATAGGTAAAAGCATCTTTATTCAGATATGGGAACCATTTATATATTATTTTCTATTATTGTACTTCTAGTTTCTCTTGCAGTTATCATATGTTTAAAGAGTAAATGGTCTTATATTTGGAAAGGTACTAATATAGATTTAAGTCATGCTTGCACACTTTAGAAACTCGGTAATTTTCATTCAGTCTGATTTTTTTTTTTTCCTGTACAATTTTTAAGTTCTGTATACTTTTCAAAATATTTAATAAGAAAACCACTTAAGGATCTTCCAGAATTTAAAACTTAAATTTCAATAATTCCTTGTTCTATGTATCAGATTTTATAATTTAAATAGTGAGCAGGCATATATTTATATCAACTACTTCAGTATTCTAAAACTTCAGGTCATTAGTGTTTATTTCTGGTGATTATAATCCATTAATTGATTAATTGTGTGTGGTCCAGTATTTGATTGTGCTCTCTGGAGAAGTTTTTCAGTAGGTTCTTCCTGTGTTTGTGCACTGTACAGCAACTAAAATGGTTTGTAAAATGAATTTAACCACAGTAGGTCAGAATGTTTTTGTTCTTGACCTAGTCAAAGTTATAACCATGAGAGTAGCTTGCAGGAATCAAAATTAACTTCTTGCTTTTGCAAAGACTGTGCACACAGTAGAATGTAAAGGAACACGGAAAGTTTGTGATGATGTATCACCTTGATGTATCTAAGTTCCTAGAAAAATTGTGTTGCTCTGTAAATTGCCAGGTTTTTTTCAATACCAAGGCAGACGTATGTGATAGCTGTTTGAAAGAAGTGGGAGTAAGGGATGGAGATGGGTTGGAAAAAGTGGGCATAAAAGGTACAGTTGCAGGACAAGGCTTAAAAATTATGATTTACAAAGGTGTAACAAATGTGAAATGTAGTGATTTATGCCAATCATTGAACTTCCACAGGATGGCAGTGTTGCAACACTTTCACGCTACAGTAAATGATTTATGTTGTGGTGAATTCTTCAAAAATTGAGCTTCCTACAGCAAAATGTATTTCAGTGATGTAAGAGAGAATAGATCAGTAGTTAGGCCAATTAGTGTACTACAGATGCCTGAAAGAATACGCCAGAGAAGACAGCAAGTGGTTGGAAGTATCGTCGCAGTCACTTCTGTGACTTTTGGAAAGCTTACAGTACCCCGGGGAGCATAATCCCCCAGTGAGACCACACAGGTGCCATGGACACAACGCCACTGGTAAATGATGTGCTTCCCCAAACCTGTTCTCATGGAGGTTAGTAAAGAGTTGTATGAGAACAGGGATCTCTTCATAAGATCAAGGCCATAACAAAGACAGTGGTTTATGATTTGTAGGAGTGGTTAAAAATCTGGGAGGTGGATTATTGCGATTTGCCACTGAAGGAACAAAACTTCATTTGGACTTTAAGTTGGCTGGTTACTTCAAATGTAATCAGCCTCAGAGTTGGTATTTCTCTCTTCTTCACCCTGGAATACTGAGGACCAAAACCCTGTCAAAATAAAGTATATGAATCTTAGTGCATACATAATAATAATTCATATTATTAAGATTAATGATGCTCTTGGCTTCTGCTTTCTGGGGAGTTATGAGTCCACATGGCTGATATAAATGTATTAATACATGTGCTTAATTTTTAATTCTATTTTCAGTTTCTTGGCATGCCTCTGCTCTTGTGTTAATAAAAGAACAAGCATACCTCTTTGCCTTTTCTACATAGGTAGTGGGCTCTTAAATGTTTTGCTGCTTTGAGGTCTGGTCCCTTCAATTTCTCCTCATACAGAAAGCTTTTGTCACTTGTTATCTGAGAGCTCTTCCCCCACCCATGACCCATGAAAACAAGATAGGAAGAGAAAACTATTTCCAGGCTAGAGCGTCTTAGGTAGATGGTTTATTTCCCTAGGAGGAAAAACAGCGCAATTAGGAACAACAATACTTTGCTACTTCCCCTAAAATTGGATGCTATAAACAGGTTTATTCTAGTCGAAGGAGGAAAATAGGATAAATAGGATGGCTGAAATATTTAGAATGATATGGTTCTGTTTCAGTGTCACTGAAATTGGGGGAGGATGGACTCTACTATGGAAGCAATGTGTTTTGGAATGTGTGTATTCATTTTCTTCCCACCTTTCTCTTCTTCCCCTCTTCTCACTCTTTTTTTTCCTAGCATATAGCACTTTCTACATTGTGGGGTTAATATTATCGATGCAGATACCTTTTGTGGGATTTCAGCCAATTAGAACAAGTGAACACATGGCAGCTGCAGGTAAGAAAATTAAATGTCTGCTTCCAAACAGCCTGCTTAGCACAAGAAAACCTCAAACCCTTGTGGCTTTGTTTCCTTGTATCAGAAAGAATACATACTAACAAACCAAATTGTTAAATAAAAAGAAGCACAATTTAGTGTCTGTAGGGAAGTTTTCTTTCCAATTGACACATTGTCCTTCTTTGTGTGAGCTAATAGAGGTAAAATGCCTCCATAACACTGGATCAGGTACACGTTCTGACAAGCGCTTATTTTACACATTGATAATCTCTACTGTTTTGCAATATAATGGTTGCCTTCAAGCATTGTACAATTGAAACATTCCTTATTGGTAAATACAGTTTTTACTGAGCAATTTGGTTTTAGAGTTGATAGTCTTCTGTAATTTTTCAAAGTGGGTTAAATACAGATGACTTAAATTAAAAATCAGCCTCCTGATTAGTAAATAACTGATTTCAACCTTGTTTGATTCTTTTTATTTCTTTAAAGTAAGTTGATTTTTTCAATAGTTGTTAAGTCAGGCATCTTGATTTCTTGACAGCAGTAACCTCTACTAAGACTCCTAGGTTTATGTTTAACTGCATACACTGTGTGTGTGATATAGTTTATTATATTCCTCAAGTTTTTTATTATGTGTAGTCACTTATCAGAATGTATTTGGGACAGCAATTGGAATATCATGAAAATTTACCAGAAAAATGCTTTAAAAAAATGGAGATTTTTTTTTTTTTCAACAATCTGACTATAATGGAAAGAGTAAAGATTATCAAACCACATTTTGCATCTGAAGAATTTTACATTTATTTAGTGAATAGAATTTGTGTCTTTCTCTAGGTGTTCAGAACTAGTGAATTTCAACATTGTGCACCTCATATTTATTGTTAAATTGAGGAAAGACCATACGCTTGAGTTCTGTTTTCTTCTTCTGCCAGCTACCAGTGAATTTTCACTTTTGAATGGACTAACCATTGGATTGATCTGATTATATACATTGAAATGAATAACAACAGAGAAATCGTGTCAAGTTCTGGTTTAATGTTAAACTCTGAGCAGCCTTTTTAAGTGTGTGGAGCGCTTACCCAGTGAATTCTGGTGTTTCAACGCTAGTTTTATATAAATCAGTTGTCTGTATCACCTAATGCTTGGGTTTGGTTTTTTTTCTTTCATTAAATCCTCCTGTTTTGTTCAGTGGCTTAATTTCCATATTTTTCTGTATTAGCCTTGTTTGTGTCTTGCCTGGGGTCTATGTCTTAATTTTTCACCAGGTCTCTGTATGTTAACCTGTGTGTTTGTCATAACCAGTGCAATCTAGTTTCCAGGTGATTCTCTCCGTTACCCCAATTTAATTTGGGAGCAAAGAGGCAGTGGGTATTGGAGCTCTCAATATAATAAGCAAAGAATGCTTTGGAGAGTATTTTCTCTCATTGCAATTTTCTGTCATTGCAAGAAAGTATCATCCCTGTTAAGTATTAAAGGCTATTTGTCAGAAAGTGATTTTTATAGTAGTTTTCAGATGTAAAGGTGTACCTTACATTTATTTTTCTAATTCAAATATAGCTGAAGCATGCCAGTTGCTTTAACAGCTGTTAGTGCTTTTGAGAATTTAAACAAAAACTTTCCTCTTTCTTCAGGTGTTTTTGCACTGCTGCAGGCGTATGCGTTTTTGCAGTATCTGAGAGACAGATTAACCAAGCAAGAATTTCAGACATTGTTCTTCTTGGGTGTCTCACTAGCTGCTGGTATTGTATTCCTGAGTGTCATCTATTTGACATACACAGGTAAATAAATGTGAAATTAATTTACCTTTGGAGCAGGTGAACCAGATGGTTTAGTCTAAAGCAGTTGTTGGCAATGCCACAGCAAACCAATGCCCATGTTACTCTGTTTCTGTGTGTTGGAATTCACTGTGCTTTCTGGGCTGCAGGAAAAAAAAAAAAAACAAACTTTGTAGTGTCATTCCACTATTTTGGGTTTATCCACAGTCCACATAATGATGTAAGAAGTCAGACTGGATGAGGAACATAACTATAGCCAAAGCATATTATGAAGATACCTATAGCTAATCTATTCTGAACAGCGTTGATAGGTCAAGGTCAGATTGCTTACTTTCTGAAATACTTGAATCAGATTTCTGTATGACTGGAATTAATCTCTAAGTTCTACTTTACTTCTGTGGTTCAGCCTCCAGTCTTCAAGGCAGTTCTACCCAATGGCACAAAAACAAGCTTGTCTTTGCTTGGTTGCCATCCCCAGGTGCCTCACTGCCATCTTCTGATTCCATGATATACTCCATTCATGATGTAATACCATACTTTCTTCCCCTGATGAAGAAAAAGCAATCTTATTTCCTAGCTAAATGTATGTTACCCATGCAAAAATTGACTTCTACTTGGTTTAAATTGTGTGATCTTAATTTTATACCTCAAAACCAGTCTGTTTTGTCAGAGTTTTATTTTGGAAAAAACCACTTTCCTGAGACATAACTTGTTTTTATTTTAACTGACTTCTTTCTTGTACTTCTTTTTAGCAATGTTTGTGGAGTAAATTTTTTTGGTATCAGTTGTTTAACATTTTGGACTGTTTAATAGCAGTTTTATTTTTGTTAATTATAGTGCCATTATTCCAAAAGAATATTTAGCATCTCTGTTTGAAAGTCTTCTAAAACTTGATGGTTTATGATTCGCTTTTCAGTACGTAGGAGCATGTCCTACTAATACTTAGCAAAAATTTTCAAACTGGCATATCGAACCAAAATTTGGCCGCTAATCTCAGTGTGCAGCAAAATATGTCTTCTGTTGGAGTTCTTGGGAAGTGTTGATTTCAACTTCTGAAATACACGGATCAGTACCACTGCTTCAGCAGATGGAGCAAACCTTGTTCCCGCAACTTCTGGTATGCTGTGCGATCTGGGCTCCTGACCATCTCACAGCACTCTGATCCCTCTCTATTTTCTTAATAATCATCTTGCAGAAGGGTGCCCACATCTGGACCCTGTATGCCAGGTGCAGCACCTGGAAGAAGGGGTTCGAGGTTCTGGATTGAAGTCCTGCCTGCCATAAGGCATATCAGCCACTCTTTCAATTTAGCACGGTTCACTGTTTTGGTCTCTGGGATGTTTTTACTTTTTACTAGCCACCAGCTGGACCCTGATCCACTGAGTACTACTTTGAGCTTGTCAGGATAGACAATTTTCAACCTGTCAAATGCTCTGTTTGTTCAGCCCATTCTTCTTCAGCTGAGAAATGAGAAGTGAGGAAAATTGGTTCAAAAAGCACTTACTAATGTATTATTGGAGGCTGTGCTCCATCATCTTTTCAGGGACTCGGGTTACTGGCCTGTAGTTTCCTGCATATTCCTTCTTGCCTTTCCTAGAGGTGTAGCATTAGCCATTTTCCAGGCACCAGGGGCCTCCCTTATCACCCTGGTGAAGATGATGGGTAGTTCTCATATTGGCCAACTCTTTCAGCACCCTCAGGTGAATGTCATCTAATCTCATGTTTTGGGTACATCCAGAGAAGACCATAACTGGTAGTTCCCAATCTACTGATAACTCCTCCTTCTTGTGCTTGCAGTGGTTTGAGAGGAAACTTTGCGTCCAAAGACTGAAGGGAAAAATATGTCTTGCTGAGAATATTAACCACAATATTTAAATGTCTAAGCTAGATATTAAACTAATTTTAAATAAATTTTAAATACCAGATAGAGGGAAGACTTACTGTGTCATGCACAAAGACTTGCGTAATAAATTAAAGGATTTAACTTTCTCTTATTTCAGCTTGTCTGTATCTGTCTTCAGAGGGAGCTGAAACAGTTGCAAGGAAAGTGGAAATAAAGTTTAAGAAGCATTTTACTACTAATAATAATTTTTATCTTTCATCTGATAATGATACTGTTTCTTTTCATCTTATGATATTCAAGTATCTAAAGGCTTTGTTTAAAAAAAAAAAAAAAAAAAGTAAAGCTTATCAGCATGTCTAGTAGCAGCTTTTATATTCCATGCCATGTGTAGATACATCAGTAGAGAAACAATAGGAAACCAGTGTTTCTTTGAGTATTAGTGTTTTGGCTATAGATCGTTCCCAGTTTCCTGCTCAGACATTCCAGAAAAGTTAAATACTTTCGTATCAATTACGGTTTTCTTTTTCTCATCCTTCTCTGCAGAGCATAGGTTGCTACCTGTCATATTCTTTGAGAAGTATTTTGTTTATTATTGCATTGCTCTGACTTTTGGAGGTGTGCGTGTCTTGATACTCAACGAGTATAACGTGATCCTGTAAGAGTGTGTTCTTCTAAAAGTAGCTTCATGGTTGGTAGGCTTTATAGCCTGCCTAATGCAGTAGGTCTGGTTCACATATATTACAAGTTCAGTGAAATTTCTTTGGGTTTGTGCTATAATTTGAGGGAGTAGAAAAATTCTTGCATTTAAATACCTGGGCAGCAAAAGGGTTTATTTTTTCCCCTTCTCTTTTTCAGGTTATATTGCTCCTTGGAGTGGCAGATTTTATTCATTGTGGGACACTGGGTAAGTAAGGATAAAAGATATAAGGATTTAGATATTGATAGCATTCTACCGAAAACTAATAATCTTTTGCTCTCCTCATCCTCAAATCCATTTAGTATTTCAGTCAAGGAGAATATAGGGGGCTTTAATCAGTTATCTAAAGAGAGCATTTGTAGTAACTGTTTCATGATCTTTGCAACCATTTCACTAATTTGTCTATTAAATTTCTTGCTTCTTTGGAAGTCTTTGAATACGTAACGTTATGTTTTTCTATATGAAATTGTAGTGCTTCTCAGCATAAAATAACCAAAAGCTGTACCAACACTTGAGGACACATTTAAAAATTACTAAGAGCCTTAAACTTACACTATTTTCTTTGCGCAGCATTGCATGAAATCACAAAGATGTTGCACATATGATCTTGCATGTTGCCTGTTAATTATGTTCATACATCTGGTTTGTGTATACAGATGTCTACTCTGAACAATTCTGGTTTATTCATGTGTGTTTTCACGGGTAAAAACCCGTGTTAGTTAACCTTTTGTTTTAGTTAACCTTTAAAAATCCAATGTTGGATTCTTTAGCCAGCCAGAAGAATAGGAATAAAACTGAAGATGTTTTTCTCAGATAAATGTATTTAAGTTGAAATTTTATTGGTAGATTTTTTTCTAAGATTAAAAGCAGGGATAGGAGAACTTCAAACTTTTGCAGTTCAGGTTTTTTCAGGCTCCAAAGTCCAGCTCCTACAGGATTCTGTACCAACTCTGTAATAAATGTAGTAGAATAGATGTCTGTAAAGAAGCTTCAGATTTATTTGAAGAACATATGGATGTTTTTTGCCTATAAATGATGTGGTCTATATATATGCAAAGCATTATACTTTTGAGGGCTTGTCTACATTAGAAAATCATATTGTGTTAAAACACGGAATGCAGTTTTGAACGAGAACTAGATCTCAGTGAAGAAAAGGACATATGTTTGATACCTCACCATTTGGTCATGTAGCACCCCAGACTAGGTCCGTATATATAGCCGTCTTTAATATAGAACACGGTTTTGTCCTTGTCTGCACTGAGTGTTTGACATGCTGTTTAGTTGACATGTATTTCCAAGTGTAGACAAGGCCTGATTTTTTTCAACATCTAAAAGAATATGGGGGCACCAGTAACTGGTCTGGCATTTCATAATGTAACTTTCTGTACTAAGAAAATGAAGGTATTCTGTGTAGAGGAGATTTTTCTAAATACAATGCTGAAAATCTAGGAGACTTACTGGCATGGATGGTTATCTCTTCAAAAAGTAATGATGGGGCTTCCATAGCTGCGTGTTTTCATTTTGGTAAATTTGGCTTCGTATTTTGCCATAATAAAACAAAACATCCATAATTTTCATTCTTTTAATTAGTATGGAAATAATCCTTTGTATTTGTGTTTTAAATACATCTATACACCAAATACTTCCTAAATACAGTAAGACCTGGGGACTTTTTTTGGTATAAAAGTTTCATCAGGTTTCTGCTGAATAGAGCTCTTGCCATTTTAATTTGAAATGAATTTCAGAATTCCTAATGTTTACAAGTTTTAATAACTTTATCTTTTCCAAATAATTTGAACTGAATTTTTTTTAAAAAAGGTATGCGAAAATTCACATCCCGATCATTGCCTCTGTGTCTGAGCATCAGCCTACAACATGGGTTTCCTTCTTTTTTGATCTGCATATTCTCGTGTGTACTTTCCCAGCAGGGCTGTGGTTCTGTATCAAAAACATCAATGACGAAAGAGTCTTTGGTAAGAGAAAATATTTAAAAATTGTTTTGAAAAATCTTGTCTTCAACTTGATTCTATTTTGGTTTTGTTTGCTCAAAGCTGGTATATGGCTTGTTCTAAAAAAGATCTTAAAGTAATGTGTTTAAAGATGATTATGAAAAGTTGCCTGCACCCAGCAGTCTTTAAAACCATTTATAAAAATGCAGAGACTGGTGAAATGGTGATGGAGTGTCGTCCCAAGAGGTGGGATTGAAATATTTGTCGGTATGGTTCTGTTCTGCGGCTGGAGTCGCATGTTCTTCCACATGCTGAACTTGCAAACCATGCATCGGGGTACAGTTCCACAGCACACCTCAGCCAGATGAACAGCTCAGTGCAAAGGGAAGGCCCCTGCCCCACGCAGGCTGCAAGGCAGCCAGCCCTTCCCTGGGTGTCTGGCACTCATCCCGTCACAGATGATGATTCAAAATGCCCTTTCTTTCCAGTTCTTCTGCTGTTTTAGTGAACGGAATCACTTGCTGTAGAACAAGTGCTAGATAAGACACAAGCCTAGCCAGAGGTGTGAGGTCTCCCTATGTCAGTGACAACAAATTGTTTATTTGTACGAAGCTGTACTGTGAAAGCAGACTTTTAAGATTATGAATGGGGCTTGTAAGGGTGTAATTTGAAGTTGTAGCCCATATGGAAGAGTGAAGATCACTCAGGTCTTGGGCTTTTACTGGGACAGGAGGCTGCAGACCAATATAGCTGCCTCTTAGGATTACCTAAGAGGTGTGTGGGCAGTGGGAACATTTACCGTGTTAAATCCAGTGACTCTGGGCTATTCTGTGCTCTGTGGCTTACAATGAGTCCTTGTCAAGACCAGTGCTGGACAACTCGCTTTCAGCCTCCTACTGCTGCATCATCCATTTAAGTCAGCATAAAGAGACCTATGAGCGAGAATGGAGAGCCATGCTATTTTGCTACGAAGTAGAAAATATTTAGGTAATGTAATCTGATAAATCAGTGTCCCTTCATGATTTCCGTGGCAAATCTTTCACAAAAGTGTATTGTTGAACTGTAGCAGGCAAGGAATAACCACTATTACTTGAACAATAGGTGTTCCTAACCAGTGTATACAGGTTTGTTTGGGTTTTTTTTTCTTCTAAGAAAAGTGTTCTGAATATTCCTTACTATTCTGAAAATCTTGTTTTGTTTTGTGTTGAGGGGGTGGGGTGGGAAATGGAGATAATACTGTTCAGGAAAACTTGCTTCAGAATAGGGCTCACAATATCGTATTGGTCTGTATGGAATCATAATGTAGACAAGCCCCCAATTTGCCCACAGATATCTCTAACTTAAATTAAAATTTGATATTTAAGTGAAATTCTAACACTTCCTTTTGCTTTTTCAGTTTCAATAACTTGTTTGGTCTAGGGCTGTTTGGCCTTTTTAGTAAAATGAAACTACCTGTTATTCCAGTAGTATTTTCCATGTGTGATATTAAATTTCACTAATAATGTATCTTCTGACACATTATTAATGACTATGAAAATGGGGTTGTGTTATTGTTAACAGTTGTCAAGACGAACTTCAGGAAGGGTTTGAGGCTTAAAAGGGATAAATGTTAATTGAACTGTATCTCTGTAAATTAAAAAGCAATGAAATGCAAGATGCATACTCAAGTCTTTATACACACAGATGCTCAACCCACTTTCAGAAGTGGTTTTATGGAGAGCATGTACGTGTGCAGTCAGAGTGAGTGTTATTTTCGAAATGTCATCAGTAGATTTGTTTCTTTGCAGTTGCTCTTTATGCAATCAGCGCTGTTTACTTTGCTGGTGTGATGGTTCGTCTGATGCTCACTTTGACTCCAGTGGTCTGTATGCTGTCTGCAATTGCTTTCTCCAATGTCTTTGAGCGTTATTTGGGTGATGATATGAAGAGGGAAAATCCACCAATAGAGGACAGCAGTGATGAGGATGACAAAAGGAACCCCGGCAACCTGTATGATAAGGTGAGGGAAGGGAGCAAAAGCTAAAAGTCAGAAAACAGCTTATTTTTACTGGTTTGTGTTTGTTTTTTTTTTCTTCTGGTCAGAATATTTTAAATGCCACTAGAGGTCTGAATCACTAGCATTTAAAGTTAGCACAAGTATTGATGTTCTCCGATAAGGTGTAACTGATGTCCTGAAAAAAAAATCTGTGTCAGTGTAGAAGTGGTTCCTTCTAGCTTCATCAGTGATGAGCCTTCAACCTAAAGGAAGTGTACAGTGTTGACCCAGCTTTCTATAGAAGCAATGGCAGACAGTTGCTCGCTCTCCTTAATGCCTTATAGCAGTTCTGTGTCACCAAATGTCTCCATGTTTCACTTTTGTATTTCCTCTAAGGCATGGTGCAATTAAAGAATACTTTAATTTTATAGAAAGCTATTTCTATACATGAACTTGCATACTCCCTTATTCCTGAAGAAGGTGGTATTAGGTACTAGTTTTTTTATCTCTTAGGCTTTGTTATACTGACCCTGACAATGCGTGAGCTCTGTGTCTCCCCCTTTTCCTCACAGTAAATATCTGTGCTTTTCTCTTTTCCACCCTGCCTTATAAAAGGGCATCATCAAACTGAGCCAAACCAAGGAAGTCATGCACTGACCCTCACAAAATAGGTTTTTTTTTTCTTCTGAAAGAGGCTTTCAAGGAATCATCCATTTTTACAAGTTACCGGATTGTCAAAATATTCTTCTGCATACTTAGTTAATTTATGCTACAACTTGGTCTAGCTGTATAGTATCCCGTAGCATTTGTGGGGTGCGTGTGGTGAAGAAAAAGGCATGGGTGCCATTGTCAAGGGTGATAAAAGTTGCCATAACGGATGTATTTGTGTTTGTTTAGGCAGGCAAAGTGAGAAAGCATGTATCTGAACAGGAAAAAACAGAAGAAGGACTAGGTCCCAATATCAAAAACATTGTTACTATGCTGATGCTGATGTTGTTGATGATGTTTGCTGTCCACTGTACCTGGGTAACTAGCAACGCATACTCCAGCCCCAGCGTCGTTCTCGCTTCCTACAACCACGATGGGTAAGTAAGGACTACAGGTCTGAAAGTAATTAAAGGGCAAAAGCCTTTCTATTTCCTTTGTGTTAGCAATTTGCTGTACCTTCTTTTAATCACTTCTAATTATATTAAGGCAGAATTGTCACCTGAATAAAAAATTCTTAATACTCTAATTCTCGAAAAGATACAACATTTCATGAAATATTTAATGTAAATACATAAAAATAATCCTATCCAAAGCCAATAAAGATGATGGTTAAAAAAAAGAAAGTTTTTGAGTCAATTGGGAAAACTTGTTTATGAATATATATTTGACTGGAAAAGCATTTAGTCACATCTTCAAAAGCAGTTCAGCTTCTGGCTGGTCGGCGGGTACAAACTTACGGCTGCTGGTGACTGAATCCCTCAAAGGGAGTTGAACGCATTAAGAAAACCCTTATTTGTGAGCCCAGATTTATCATGGTGCAGTTAATTTGTTGCTAGTATTTGTACCAGTGTGAATAAAATGAACTCTGTCTTCCAGCACTCGGAATATCCTAGATGACTTCAGAGAAGCCTACTACTGGCTGAGACAAAACACAGACGAGCACGCCAGAGTGATGTATGGCCAACCGGACAACCTTGGTTGATAACAATACTTGGAACAACAGCCACATAGCCCTGGTAAGGGTGGCAGTTTTCTATGGAGCAGAAATACCAAAATGTTTACATTGCAGTCAAGTATGAAATTGTAAATGTCTGCTGATGAATAGTGCAATAGATATTAAGGAAAAATTCCACAGAGTGGGAAACATAGAGGTGGAAGGAACATATTTTTTGCATGTATTAGAACTCAAGTATAAAGAGTTTTGAGGCTAGAAGGGATCAAGTTTGTTTTGGAGTTTCCATTTTGCTTGCTTGGAGTTTCCAAAACTTCACGCCTACTTCAGTTTCTCTTCTTTTCTTTGTGGGGGGACAGACAAAATCTAATGTAACTATCCAAATAGGGATCATTTCAGTTCAGCACTGTCTTTGCTGACTGGATTTTGAATTGGCACTATGAAAACTGCCCACATGAAACAACAAATTTTCAGGCATCTTGGAAATTAGAGAAAGTTTATGAATAGCCGCGGAAGTGTTGCGAATTTGATGCGATTCTGTCTTCTCAAATTTGCAGTTGGACAAAACATCTGTACATTTAATTTCTGTCACTTCCGAAGAGCAAGTTTAAGCTTTGTGCACATGCTTAAAAGCAGGGCGTTAGCATTGCTTGTGGTTACAGGGGCACCATCTTGGGCAACTTAGACCTTTTCAGAAACAAAAGAATGCTCTATATTGTAGTTGGGCTGCAGTCTTACTAGGTGCTGTGTACTCACTTGTCATCACTCAGTAGCCGTTTCGTCCCAGAAGACCTATGTCATGCTACGTGGGCAGAATGGGGGAAGAGCTTGAGGAACGTATTAGGATAGTTCCTTGTCTTGTATCAGTACCCAGTACAGCAGTTGGAACAGATCTGCAGACAAGCAGTGTTCAAAATCAAGAAGTTAATCAAGCTGTGCTTTGAGCGTACAAAGTCCTGAAAAAACGCGTATTGGGGAAGGGGGGCATCATATGTACGTGCTTTCGACAGGGGCAGGGAACTCGCATCAGCCGAAAGCAAGCTTGGGAAATCGTACTGTTGGTGCTAGTATCAGTCAACAAGCCTTCCCATGTACTAAGGCACTTTTCTCTCATTCTGGTTGGTGACCTGACAGTGTTAGTGTGTTTTAGACGGACATTCAACGCTCATAGCTCTGTGTGCCCTCCCTCTTCTACAAGAGGAAGAAGTGCAGATACTGTATCTAAACCAACAGATCCCTGCAGGATAAGGTGCATCATATGAACAGAGAGACCGTGGAAGTCCTCTGTGTTGCATAGGCACAGTAATCATACACATTACAGCAATTAGCATTGATGGGTTTTAATAAAGAATTCTCTCCAGTATGACTGCTGGCGCTGTCAGGTTCCATTTCGGAATGAACACTCCATAAATGGGAACCCAAGCAATAAACGTCTGTTGTGGCGAATACCTGAACTTGTGCGCTAAACGAGGCATGCCCTGGAGACGCTTCCTGCACAGAAATGGAAATCTGCCAAATAACTTCACGTTGATTAGGATCATGGCCAAGGAGCTGAGGTTCTCTCTCTTTTTGACAGATTGCAGCCGAAGCTTAGCGTTTTCTAATTACGTTCTTAACTGAATGTTACCGATTTGGATGCAATATTATTTAGATTGTAGTTACTCCCTTTTGCTACAGCAATACATTATTATGCCTTAAGTGTGAGAGCTTCAATAGCAAACAAAATTACTGAACTGAATGCCAGTTACTGACCTAAGCGAATTCTTTAAGTGTGGGAAGTGGCCAGTGTGGAAGAGGTTCTGGATACAGCTTTTAAAAGTTTTTCAGCGCCAAAACTATGTTATGCTTTTAACTCAAGGATGTCTCTATTCTGACATTTTCTCTGCATAAACTGACCTTGAATTCAATGCTGAGGGTGCCTGTATGCTGCTGAGTACAATGAAGCATGGCTGCTTCATTAGTGAAGGACAGAGCTCAAGGGGGAAAAAAAACAAGAAATTACTAACATGTCAAATAATTCATTCACTTTGGGCTGTGTCTAAAGCTTTAAAAATAATTTGTAATTAGGTATTTTCTGCAACACTAAGTTTTTGGCAATACAGACATGACTTGAAAAACCTTTAAGTGCCACAAAAGGAAAACCCTTATTGCTATATTTTATACTCAAAATGCTCATTTCAACAGGCAGCAGTCCTCTTACAGAGGAGAAAAATATTTCAATTTAGGCTGGGCTTTTGAGTTTCTAAATAGATACAATGGGTTTTCTTTGTCTAGAAAGAAAATGTGGGCTTTGGTTGGCAAGTATGTATTTTTGGGCTTCAGTCTGGCAAGATATTGATCTGTGGATCTCTTTGATAAGCAGCTATGCAGTTATTTAAGATATTTTTGCTGTGATACAGGTGGGAAAGGCAATGTCATCAAATGAGTCGGCGGCATACGAGATCATGAGAAGCCTGGATGTGGATTATGTTTTGATTATTTTTGGTGGTGTGATTGGCTACTCTGGTGATGATATTAATAAGTTCTTGTGGATGGTGAGAATAGCAGAGGGGGAACATCCCAAAGATATTCGGGTAAGTGGAAACATAACACAGGAAAACTGAAGCGTTCTTGGCCGAATACTGTATTTCTGTATGTTCATCTCTACTGTTTTTTTAACGTTTCATTTATGTTGTTGCTTTTCTGGTAGTGCTTATTACAGTGGAGGGAAATCTCTACTCCTTATTGCAATTTTATTTTAAATAGGTGTTATGGGTTGTTTTCCTAGAACAGTAGGAGTGCAGAGGCCTGTAGCCCAGTTTCTTTCAATATTTATGGTTTTGAAAGGTCAGTAACCTCAGAAGCTCTTCACTTTTTTTTGCATGATACTAAAAGTACAGGATATCTTCTGCAATTCTTGTGTGTGTGTCTCACTATGCACCATCATACTTTAAAAAAGGAATGTTCAGACTGTTTAAATGGTTGGCATTACAAATTTCTTCAAACTCTGTAATACTGGGAGACAAGTTAAAGTGTTAATATTGACTTATGTAGAGTTTAGGTTATTCAAACATCTCAGAGATTGCAGAAGGCTGTAGTAATATTTGCTTAAGCCTAACAAAATCTTCTAGATATTGAGCACAGGCTTAAGGGAGTAGCCCGTGTGCATAGTTTCATCTTGCACTGGAGATGAAAATGGCAGAAATCTTTTGTTTAAACACTGTGCACATATGAAGTTTATGGTAACGTTGTAGACCTTGTATATTAACAATACAGTGCCTTTCACCTTTCTGAAGAATAATTTTGATAGATGCCCAACTAACTTATACATTTTGAGATCAGTATTCCAGTAACTGCTTTACTGTGAAGTGACAAAACTTGTACTAGCACAAAAATAAGGATTTGGGAAGATTGGTCAGCTGGGGTCTGGGTTACAAGCAGGTAGTTTGTAACTATTTTACCTTTAATGAGCACCATCCTTTTCTGTTTTAAGACTAGCTTAAATCAGCTTTTAAACTGTAAAAGTCAGTTCAGATTCTTTATGAAGGTTTTTTTTGTGGAGAAGCGAATGAGAAATTACCTTAAATAGGGGTTTAGTTTATATTGACTTTTTGTATCTTCTTTTATTTTTAAAGGAAAGCGATTACTTTACTCCTCAGGGAGAATTCCGGGTAGACAAGGCAGGTTCTCCAACTCTGCTGAACTGCCTCATGTATAAAATGTCCTATTACAGATTTGGAGAGATGCAGGTTAGTGCTACAACTTCTACTGAATCTTAAGTGAAATGTGAGAAAACAAAGGTTATTTTGATGTATTTTCCATCTTTGAGATTTGAGTGTTGCTTGTAGTAGCAGAATCGGAGGTAAGAGCCAGCTTTACAAATTAAAACACATCTAGGCATGGTCTACTGTATATAACCTTTAGAAGAAAGCATTTCCACTGCTAACCTACACTTGTACGTAGCTTTTTGCTGTCTTTCACCTTGCCCCAGACGAGCATCTTAATTCCATTATGCAGTGCGCTTGCTAAAGCATGAACTGTTACGTTGTGGAGAGCTTGAGATTTGTTTTTTTAATAGCAACACAGAAGTGGGGCTGTTAATTGACTAATATCTGTCAGAAACTACCTGATTTCTATCCAAGTCACATCAGTGTATTAAACAACACGGCACTTTATTACATAAGGGCATAATTCTCGGGCAGAGTTGTCACTCCCCTTTGGCATCCTCAAGCACGTGCATGTAGCTAGATCTGCCTTGTCTGCTTTTTTCTTTCCTGTTCTTCCCCCCGCTGCCAAGGGCCCTTCATTCTGATGTGTTAGCACAAGAATCCTTTATTTAGCTAAAATTGATGCCAGTGAATCTTATTTGTAACACGGAGGGGGTCGAATTTAACTGATAAACATAAACGTGAACTATTTCAGACTTGTGTGGAAAACCGTGAAAGTGCAAATTACCGCACGATAGAAGGGAGAGTACAAGGGAGCAGCTATGCTAAAAAGCTACCGCAGGCTGCCGCACCTCACGCTTTCACTTAAGTAGTTTCACCTCTGAATGCAGATGTGGTATTTCTGTTGAGACATGAAGTGCTGCCTCCCGAGACATCCGTAGGAGTACGAATGAGTTCGTCTCTTTCTCAGTCGCAAAAAGGAACTGAGAGTTTTTTCTGTGTAGCAATAACCAATGCAAGAGAAGTGTTGTGCTTTGACTACACCAGCTGAAAGCGTTGCCTTGTGATACGAAATAACACAGTTTGTAGTAATGGGTGGTTTGGGTTTTGTCTCGAACTAATATGCAACTTTAATTTTTATAGCTGGATTTTCGGACACCCCCAGGATTCGATCGTACGCGCAATGCTGAGATAGGCAACAAAGACATTAAATTTAAACATCTGGAGGAAGCCTTTACCTCAGAGCACTGGCTTGTTAGAATATACAAGGTGAAACAACTAGACAACAGAGAGACATTGGATCATAAACCTAGAGTAACCAACATTGTACCAAAACAGAAGTATTTGTCAAAGAAGGTGGGTTCCCAGTGAAGTACCTGAAAGGGGTGAGGAGGTGGCAGTTTATTTTTAACAGTGAATCACATAGCTGGTGAATTATGTATTTCCACTGGCCAGAATGTTATGGATACTGTTCATGTTAGTGTCCGATATCAGACCTGCCTGCTGGTAATAATTGTTAATTTACTGTCTGCTTAACTTAAAAGCATGTGAAGACACAAGGCTAGATTTTTTTTAGGCAGAATGCTAACTGGAAATAGAGTGTGTCACTGGCTGTTACAACTCTTAAGTCTTCATGTAACTGGAAGTATAATCTCTAAAGTACATCAATTCATGTTTCAGTAACTATGGCTCACTAAGTAAATAATGTGGAAGTTGCTTTCTGACTTTGTTTGAAAGTAGTGATGCCTAGAAGTTTAAAAATGGCAATTTTGTATGAAATAAATTAAATATGAAACTTTTGTTCACGGAACTTTAGTGTCTGGCTGCTTACTGTTTGAAGTCATCTTCATGGTTTTAAAAGTGTTAGCAGTGGTGTGCTACTTCAGCCTGTTAAGAAAGACGCGTTATCAGGGGAGCTGGGGAGAATCTTAGCAGCCCTCTCCTTCACAGCATCTGTTTTCTTTCTATTTAAATATATGTTGCAAAAGGAATTCCAGAATCCTGTCAGAAACAAATGTGTAACAAACTAAATTACTACAGGCAGTAAACTTACGCTGTGTCATGGAAATACAAGTAAAGAACATTAGAGGCTAAAGACGCTGATTTTTGTGATTTGATGGAAGTTCATAAAATAAGGCATTTGGGAGTTCTCACTGAAGCTAGACTTATCTTAAAAGGAAATTATAAGCTTTACTGTGCCTGTCATACACTTACGGTGTAACTTTTTGCTCTTAAGTGACAAGCAAGGCTATATTTATTAATGAGAGGTGCATTGACCCCACTTAAGCTGTGGAGGTGTTGGTTCTCTGTCTAAAGACAGGATACAAGTTGATGCAAATTCTGATCCATTGGTAACTCTTGCAGTACAAACGAGCTCTACTTCCCATTAAGACATCGGAGAACCAGCAAAGAGCATGGGGCGAATGTCTAAACTAGGATTTCGTAAATGCGTTCTGAGGGCTCCTTAGTAGCCACAGGTTTTCAGCAGTTGCTTCCTTACTGGAAATTCAGTCCATCTCCTGTCACTCTTCCATGTTCGGAACGACATTGCTCAAGCTCAGAGATGTAACATGTCTGAGTATTACATATTAGTTTGTATCTATCTCACTTTATAATAATATTGTTGTTGTTATTAAAAAGAGAAAAGTTCTGTTTAATTGACATAATAGAGCCTGCTGGTAAGCACAGCAAAGTACAGCAAGCGTGGGAGCTGCCGACTGTCTAATGTGTTGGGGCAGGCATGTCGAATGTACAATTCTACCTGCCACGACCTAACTGTATTTATACAACTTTGAAGTTAATATTACCCAAGACTAACGTTAATACTTCCCCCTATTACTACCTGAAGAAAAAAAAAAAAATCTAAAATACACTGATAAGGGCGCATGAGCAGAAGCACTAACTAGCCTACAGACCGACAGCAGAGGATTAAAGACTAAAATGTGATTGTTCAGTTTTTCTCTTACTTTTGAAAAATGCTGCTTTGAGCAAATATTTCTCTCTCTCATCTTGCTAACTTCTATGAGAATCAAATAGCGCAAAAGATGCAAGAAGGTATTTCCAAACAAAACTAACACTCTCCACCACTTCTGCTCTTTGGGCATATTAGAGCTTTATCATGTTGGTTAATTATTAATTCTGCCTCAGCACAAGCTTTGAAAACAATTCTACAGATCTGGTAGACGGGGCTTGCAAAAGTACCTCTTGCGCAAAAGCAGATGTTGGGCATGAATTAACAATCCCAACTTTAAAAATAATAACTGGATAAATACCTAGTTGAGGGTTTGCCATTATTTAAGCTCTTTAAAATTAATCTAAAGATCAGGTGTTGAAATGCACATCATTAAACCGTGGTCAAGACTAAATCATTAACTAATACATTTTATTCTGTTTTTCTTTTTAGACCTCCAAAAGGAAGCGTGGCTACATTAAGAATAAACTAATTTTAAAGAAAGGCAAGAGACCCAACAGGAAGACAGTTTAAATACACTGTTCTGATTGCTAATACGAAGCAGTTGTCCTTGAGATAACCAGTCTTTGCCTTTAGCTCAAGTCATGTTTCACAGCAACATGAGGGTACAGAACCATCATTGGTCCAGATTATTGTACAAAATTTTCAGGCAATGTCTGATTAAAAATATTGGCTTATTGAGAACAGCTGTTTTAGATTTGTAATGTGAAGCAAGACAGAGCTGCTATCCAAGTCTAGCAGCATTTTTTTTTTTTTTTTATTGGTACATATTATCCTTCAAATCTTGAGAATTTGGACTGACTGCACCAAAGAACCCTGTAATTTGGTCCTTGGCACATGCATACTTGTCAATCTTTTTTGGAAAACACTGTTCAGCTGAATAGCAGCAGTTTGTAAACTGGAATGGGGAAATCTAAAAATGACTTGTTTTCAACAAGTAGGAGGAAGCAGAGCTCTCTGAAATTAAACTTTGAAAATAAGTTACTCCCATGATTATTTTTCAGCGGTTTCTTTCAATGTCCTTTTACTCTTGCTGCAGGCTGGTTTTGATCTGGAGTGTAAGAAGCAACGCTGCAGTTTTCACAAGAGATGACAGGACAGATGAATTGGATGCTAGTTTAGACTGGACAAGCTGCTTTTGTTTAACATGGGATTGCAGCATTGCTGCCTTACTCCGTCATTTCATAAGGTAGACAAGGCAAATCTTGCACACCGTAGATACAAGGGCTAAATTTGTATCTTAAAAAAATCCGAAACGACAGTAATGAATGCTATAGGAAGATACAACTGAGCACCATGCGGTGGCTGGTGCTTCAGAACAGAAATTAAACTCGTTTAGGTAAATGTTTACATTGGTAAAACAAGTATAGCCTGTTTCATGGGAAAAAGAAAAAGGTTGACAGGTATACAAAAACCCCTTTTCTGTGCACCCTCTCCCCCCCCCCCCCACTGCCTTTCTTGTGAGGGTAAAAATTTTTCTGGAAATCTGTTTCTCTGCATTTTTATTTAGAGTGCTTAAATCAGTTGAAGAAATTCCTGCTATAGTGCCGTTTGCTTTGTCTGTCTTTTATACTGTTTTCTTTTTCTAAAAAAGTGGTGAAAACCATCAGATTAAATGCACTAAAATATAAACGGAGACTGAACATGTTCACTTTCCAGCTATAGGAAAACTTTATACAGACTTGAAAATTTTCTTTTAATTAAAATGAAAGGGGTTTGCAGTTTGTTTTCCTGCCACAGGTTGTAACTTTTTATAGAAACAAAACTTGCATCAATAATTTGATGTAAAATGCAGAATAGTATGTACCTTTCATGAAGAAAATGTAAATTTACAGTGTTCTGTGAGAATGTTACTGCTGACTTCTTTCCCAAGGTGTAGAATATTTTTTTGATTTATGAACTCATTTTTGACTCCAGTGGTTTACACAGACCAATACTACAGCTGCAACATTTTCACAAAGGTAATTAAATCTGGATTTCTGGCCCCCTGTCGTTTGGAGATTTCATTTTATTTTGTTGCTTTAAAGCTCAATGCAGACCAGTTGTTGACTGTAGGGGAAAATAAAGTTAATTCAAGTTTTGTGTTAAGGGTGTTGTGTCAGTTTTGTTACGATTACCTTGATAACATGTTGCTTATAGTCCTAGTGATAAATGAAGTCGTTCGAACTCCATAATGCGAATCTGCTGACCTCATGAAGTTGCTGTAACGAAGCCACAGCAGCTACTGAACATCCTTCCAGCTTAAATTTATTAAGCCAAAGGTAGGGCCTCTGTTGTGATGAAATGAAAGTGGCTGTAGTATTTTCAGAGGACAGCAGCCATCTTTCTTTCCCAAGCACACATCTGGCAGTGAATCCTTCCAGCATCTGGAGAAGCTCAAGCTGTTACAGTTGCTTACCCACAAGCAGAAGGGGTGATTATGTGATGCGTAATTTGTAATACCTTGCTCCTTCCAAGCAAATCTGCATCCTGCCCCCTCACCGTCGGTAAGAAATAAGCGATCTGACATTTGGAAGAACATCTGAAAGGCAGCAGAACAGATGCTGCTGGGCAGCCTGTGGTTCGGCAGTAACTCAGCCTTGTTTTAAAAAAGGAAATAAAAGGATGCCCTCCCATCCTTAGGTATCTTTACAGTTCTGCCGAGATTGTTTTCCGTCTTCGCTGACAGCATTCTCTTTAACAGAGAAGAAATAAGTGAATCCTGTTGACTTATATAGCATTTTTAAAGCTGTACGAAAGAAAAATAAGCCAGCTACAGGAATCTTAGCCAGCCTGGGCCTGAAGTTTTGCCTACCACCTACCTGAGCTTTCTTAAATCTAACTTGACTTCAAGGCTTCTGCCAATCTTCTGCATTTAAATGGAATGAGAAGTTGAGTCACTAAGGCAGCTGCTTGGAAAAAACAGAGTTACAAAGAAGAACTGGCAGGCATTGTATCGCCTCCAGTGGGTCCTCAGGAACCTGCACGCCACACAGGTTACCCCGGTTCTCCACCTGCCTCCTGGAATTACTCAGCTGAACTGACTTGAACCTCTTCTCTCCGAGAACTGCACCACGCTTGTACCAGCAAAGAATACTAGCGTCTTGTGTCATTAGCAAACATACCTTCCGTACTAGTTTATTTATTTCCTTAGCTACAGCCATCCTTTTGTTGTTCTACTAGGTCAAACTTTGAAGATTTTGAAGCCCAACTGTGACAAAACAGCAAAATCTGAAGTAAAAAAAATGCATAAGCCAGGCTCTGGTCATCAGTTGCTAAGGAACTAAAACTGCACGTGTCTGTGAAGCCAGTACTGCATAAAAGTTCTGCATCACTTAATCATTGCTGCTGAAAGCGGCGAGGGCAGGCAGTACTATTGGCAAGCCCAGAAAAAGTATTTTCACTTGTGGAAGTAATTCCGTAACAGAGGGGTAGAAAAGTCATTAGTTACATATCTTGATAGATATGCTGTACATATCAATCCCACTACGAGTAAAACCTGAAAATAAATCATATTTGGCTATGACTAAAACTCAATAATGTCTTTAAACCAAACGTATGCACGGCTCCAAGACAGGGCCTGAAGCAATGCAGCAGAAGGCAAGGAGCACAACTGGGAAGTGTTCCCTGTCCTGTTTACAGCCCGCGCTGTTTTCCGCTTTGCCCAAAAACAAAGCGTTCTGGCACGGTAGTTTCCAACACTGTGGATGAATGTTTAAAATAAGCCAGAATTGCATTATCTAACACTTGAAAAATGTTGACCAGGATCCACGAAGCTTCTAAGCATGTCTTTCCTCCCCATGCAAGTGTCCACTGCTGCAATAATTGAGAGTTGTATTTTAAGAGGCATCTAATCAAGAATCTCTGTTAATGACAAAGGTGAAATGAAACATGATTTTCAGAAACAAGGGAACACCTTAACCTATTTCCTTTTTATTTGTCAAAATAAGGCACGTGTTCCCCAGCCTTTCCTAAGGCTGTGATGCTGCCCGGCCCTGTTTTCCCTGCGTCGTGCTGTCCGATTTAAACAAAAACTTACCTACGCCCTGTCTGGCAGTAGGAACGGGGCAGAAAAACCCCGCAACAACCCAGGACTCGGCTGACAAGCCACTTCCATCAGAACCATGCAAACAGCTCACAGGCGCCCTGAGCGTGGCGCGCCGCTCCTGGACATCCGAGTAACTGGCACCAGTTAACTAATGCTTCAACGGAAAGAGAAAGGGCATCCCACTGCTAAATGAAACAAATCTTTTATTCATGAGCGTTGTCATTTTAAATTCACAAATTCCGAAAGGAAGGCAAATCAGAAGAGCCTGCCAGAGCATCTTTTAAATGATAAAAGGTATAAATTTTCTTTCTGAACAGTTCTAATTTAAGAAAGAAACAGGTTGCATAGGCTTTCTACAGGTGTGCAGAAAAAAACTGAAGTACATGGAGGTTTTTACATTACAATTCAGAGTGTACATTGGCTACTTGAAAAGGAAAATATTTACTTGCAAGTCCAAGACAGCTATTGGAACAACCTACAGAATAAGGCTTATGAATATTTACTTCTCAGTCCTGTAAAATATACCGAACACGGAACTACCAGAAAAATAAACTGACACTTGTGAATCTTGTTCTGGAATCTCTCGCTGATGGGATCTTTTCAGAAAGGACCATTTTTATCTTTGCCTCTCCCAAGTTGCTCTGGAAGAGAAACAGTGGTAACCGGCATCAGGGGATTCTTCACAGCATCAGAACAAAACAAAACATTTATCAGATCCCAAGTGGAATGTTCTCCGCATGCAGAAACAACCAACCATGCAGACAGAAAAAAATCTTCAATAAATTACAAGCATAAAATTATTCAAATTTCTCCTTAAAAGAACAGCTACAGCATCTCTGTAGCCTCGACAGTCATACCATCAAAGCTGAAAGAGGTCTACTCTTTCAGGAGCGCAGGCCTGCATGCCTGACAGAGAGAGGTTTCCCATGGCTATTTTCAGTGAGTATGTGGCTTGTTCTTTGGTGTGTGAAAGTCAAAGTTCTGGGAGGATGTTCCGTGCGTTTAATTCTGCATTTTTCGATTGTTCTTTGTGGTGATACTACAAACTGTATGAATACTTATCAGACTAACCTCTCGAACGAGAGTGGATCCATTATAAAGTTAATTCTTGCAGGTGATAAAGTACTCATTTTCCTGATGATACTTGGTAGTAGTTCAGTGATTACTACGACAGCATCATTTTTGTTTCGTTACAGAATAACATCAACTATTCCTAAAAATAAGATTTTTTTTTTCCTTTAAAACAAAAAAGTGTCAGTTACAAAACCAAGCTCACACAGTCCACTTTTTTTTTTTAAAAATAGGATTTAAATCATTTATAACATGAATCTTTCTGATGTGCAAAAGAAGTACATACAAGCAGACAAAATCGCATTTAGGAGGAAAAGGAGCCACCCCTTCATTAAACAGAGATCTGAAGTTCAAATGTAAAGAGCTATTAAATATTATGTCCGAATGAACAACTAATGGCATGTTTCCTTGTGTACACACCTCTGTTTAGCCTTCCGAGTTGCTCAAGAGATTTTAAAATCTACCAAAAAAAAAAATTATAAGATGCAGGACGCACAAGAACAGATATAAGCAGTGCTTTGACCTAAATATGTTTGTGTAATATCTATGAAGCGTAAGCTAGTGTATTCAGAAAGCGGACAAAAGGCACAAAATGAATCAGTACTACAGAAAGGTAGGCGTCCATGCTACTATATGTTAGAAATATTGTGGTTTCTTTATGGGGCACTGTAAAAAGCAGCACTGAGCAGAAGTCAGCACATTTCACACGTGCCTTTTGTTGTCACTTCTCTCAAAAACATCTTCCTTTTCAACAAATACGAACAAAAAAGCAACGAAGCTTTAACACGCTTTCAGAATCCACTTTCTTACTGTCACAGCGGTTACCCTACAAAGCAAGATCAAGCTACAGGATTGACTGGGGCAAAAGCAAAAGAAATCAGAACGCAGGGCTGCTTGGGGCCTTAACAGGGGATTAAGGGCTCCGACCAGGCGAGCTCTGCCTTAATTTCCCAGAGCAGCGCACAGAACCTGCCTCTCGGCTGCTGGGGACAGCTTGCACCCGGCACAGCGGGACAGGACTCCTACCCGGCCTCTCCCGCCTCACCGCACATCCCGGCATTTTAGCGTGAACGCATCAGCAGTGGTTGAACTTAAAAGGCAAGGCTGTGACCTGGGGCGCCTCAGGCACAGCCCAACGCCGTCCTACGCCTCTCTTACGCCGGGGTGGAAAGCTGAGGCAAGAGTGAGCTGGAACACCACAGCTACATCTGCCAGACGGGATTTAGCGGAACACGTAACCCAAAAGCGTTGGCGTGACAGTAGCCAGAGAACATTACACAGCGAGATCAAAATGACCAGAGCAGCCGGCTCCATGGTGACCAGAGATCTACTGAACAGCTGGAGGTATGAACAAACAAAAAAGCGAGGACAGAACGGGTTAGTGCGAACAATGTTCTTGAGAAGGTATTGCTACTTCTTACGAGACGGCAGAAAATTCACACTCGTAAGTGACAGGAAACATGCTCTTAAATCAGCATCCCGAAGAGCGAGCGCGCTGTCAGTGTATCATTCTGATGTCAAAGTGAGTTACTCCATGACTGTTTAGACAGAATGACTGCCATTAAGTGACACATCACATTTTAAGTGCAAAACATTTTTGGCAAAAGTGAAAAATAGAAAAACCTTAACCAGTACTAATAAAAAAGTATTTTCTTAAATACTAGCATAGGGCCTGATCCTGCAAGCACACAACTCGGGGAACCCCAGCTGAGTCCAGCCAGAGTTCTGTGCCCTAACACTTAGAGGAAAAGGTCTTTCCATCACTGTTAGTGTTTACACTTGTTTACATGTAGTGTAAATAATACACGCACAGACACATACACACTGCGTGCGTGTATGCGCGTACATACGGAGGTGTGCGTGTGTGTTTGTGTATCCACACACACAAAATGGCTCCTGAATAAACTTGAGCTTGTGGTTATTTTGTGATGCATCATTCACAGTATATAGCTTCTCGTTTGTATCTTCTGACAACAGGACCTATTCAATGACATCTTGAAGTTATATACTGTATCATTTTAATGCCTTTAAGGTGAAGTGGCGAGGCAACTGCTCTATCCCGTCAATGGGTCTTCCAGAGAGGATTCAAGTACAGCCAACCATCGCCCTGCAGGAGAATTAGGGAGAGTTTACAAACAAGATTTATACATACGGGATCCGTGTATGTCCACATAAAAGCTAAAATGATACTAACCAACACAAGAAACCCATCCCTGTCACCTGAAAATTCTGTGCTTAATGAATTTACAGGTAATCTAGGTGGGAGGGGAAAAATTACAAGGGGGAAGAGAAGCAATGGGAAGATGCAACAGATGAACTGCTGGTTTAAATAGCTGCGCATACTGGCTAACATAACACCACAGTCACGTAATAATTCCGTCAGTCGGTCTTATTTCCCTTCCCCCTTTCCTCTAAGAAAGGGCAAAGACGAACTTAGTAAAATCTGTTTCATTTCAAGCATGTGAAACCCAAGACCGCGTTTAAGATGTCCATGCTTACTCATATTGGATAAATATCCCTAGATCGTGTTCACTTTGTATGCTGAGATCACGATTAGTAGGAGATGTGAGTACACAGCATTTGCAAATTAAGGTGTGGATTTTAAGGTAAGAAACATAGGTTTAAGGGCCTAACATTAGGCACCAAAACCTCAGGTTAAAATAAATCTAACTGAAGGGAAGTAAACAAGTTTACGATATGGACATGGAAAAATCCATTGCTCCTCTTTAAGAGCCAGATTCCGGCAAAAACAGAATTTAAAACCATCGGTTGTATATAACAACACTAGCCCATGGTAAAAACCACAGACAAATTTATTTGTACTAGCATCCTCCTGTACGCAGAAACACGCTACAGGGTCTTTAGAACAAGGCAATGAAAGTACCTCTTTGGCAAAATATTTTGGTTTCCACGGGGCTGTAAGAGCCGCACGTTGCCTCTCCTCTGCTCGCTGTCTCTCTTCGAGGCGGTGCTTGTGTTCTGTTGCTGCATCGATATTGCCTTCTTTCAGAGAATTGGTGACGTGTTGCCAAAGGTGCCTGCGTGATGGAGAAGGAGCGCAAGCGCCAGAGTGAGAACCCTTCTGCCGCAGCCGAGTGCCGGGCTAGACAGCAGCAGGGGGAGAGGCGGGCTGACGCCATGTTCTCCATGCCAGTTTTGCAAGTCACATAGCTTGTGAACCATCGCTCTCCTAGGGTATGCATCGCATTTGTGCACCAGATTTTCAGATTTGCTCAACTCCCAGTATTTTGCCATGCAAGTCAACTTTCTCAATAGCTTTGTTCGTGTTCCCGACTCTTCACAACCTGAGCTTTTTTTCCCCAAAGCAGACGGATTTATTTTTATCATTTCCTGTTCACATTCTTTACGGATGATCCACCCCTAAATGGCATGGGTTTATTCTGTGTTTATTTGCAGTTAATTTTTTTAATTATAAGGCCATGTTAGCCAAAAGGCAAGAGTACCTTAAATTGGGACACTGATGGTTACTGAACGGAGGAACTGATGCACTGATTCCAGGGAGCCCTTCTAGGTCTGTGCTCTGTATTCCCAGTTAACAGTAATTATCAGCCTATAACCAAACTTGTTTTTCACGTGACTGACCGCATTCGGATGTAATGCCTCCTCCCACTATATGAGCCTAGCAGAAACGTGGCCCAGAAAAATACTGAGAAGAAACTGACTGCAGCTTCCACCTATTTCCAGGGGTGTTTAAATGAGTTTCTGTTTACAATCTGATAAACTGCATATCCTGCAGAAACACTGGCTAGTTGTCATTTGCTTACTAGTACCCAAAAAATACAATAAATACGCTGCAGAGCTACTGGGTTCCTGATTTACTCCAACCCTTCTGTTCCTAAACGACAGGGGAAAAATGAGTTTGTGATAAGCAAGCACATCTGGAAAGTAGGGAAAAATGGTATCTGACCCTGGACAATGACTCAAGGCACACCTTTGCACAATAAAGAGAACATATTTACAGATAATAAACTGAAGCTTAACTCATGTTTTTAAATCCTCCAATAAAATGTTCCTAAATTCAATAAAAATATCGATTTTTCTGAAGAAAAGCATCATCAGTTATTGCCAGTGAACAACGGAATAAGTTTTTTTCTAATGTACGCAGTCAGAGTTCGGCATGTGATGTGGGTGCTCAGAGCCTTAAAACCACACACGTGTGTGTGTGATTTACATTTCACACTGCATCACATTTTACATATTTTTACGCATATATATGCATTCTAAAATATATAAAACATGAAATTCCAGTGTAAATTATAAGATGCAACATTACTTGCAATAAACTAATTTGACTACCATGTTACAATCTCTCAAAAAAGCAGGTGAAAACACTGCATTACCATTTTCCAAATGCTCATTAAAACGCACACGAGCATCTTCCCCCTCTACAAAATTGATGTCTATGTCACTATAATGTAATTTATGTTCCAAAGCACCAATACACAGCTTCAGCTATTTGTGCCTAGATTTATGTGCTGCAGGAAGCGAGGCGTTTTTGAACCACACCATTTATAACTGCAGTTTGCTTCCCTGTTCTGTTCCCGTCCGAGGTCCAGAAGGAGAACACTGTAACACCTCTGCCCTTACCTTGATTCCAGCGGGCCTTGCTTTGCTATCGGCCTAATCTTTTTCCTGATAACAGGCAGTTTGTTAGTGTCAATCACTTTGGTTTCTCCGTTGCTGTAAGTAAATTCCAGCGTACCGTTCCATTCTCCCTGTGCCTTGCATACAATGGTGTTAGTGGGATTGTGTTTCACTTCGGCTGTAACCCTAATTCAAGAGGGAAGAAAAAAAAAAAAAAACCCACAGAAATAACTGGTACCATTTATTATCAGCATATGAAAGCACTGCCACAGCTAAGGCTACAAGCAGCTTTCTACATCTACAAAGTAATTTTGCAAGCAAAGGAGTGACGCTGTCTCCAAAAAGAAAGACTGAACCCAAGAAAGCTCTGCTAACACAGCAATAGCTTTTGGACAACGTTCTCCTGAAGCACAGCAGTAACCCAACCTAAAGCTCTGACACTCAGCTTTAACCCAGAACTGTTTACCTCATCAGCCTGAAACACAACTCCGGACATTCATGTGACGTTTTCAGTACACATGCTATTTTCACACCTGAACATAATGCTGTCAGATACCTATGTCAAAGATTTCAGGTACCTTTATTTCCTTCTTTAGCTCTGCAAGTTCACTTCTCAGCTGCTGAGAGGCAATGATTAAAGCTGCCTCAGTGGTCCGAGAACTGGTCTGAGAGTGAGCAAAATAGACAGGTAGGACTGGAAAACCAAAATGCAGGGAGAAGTTTCGTGCGTATGTGTGTCTATGAACACGCACACATGCGCTTCAGCAAGCCACATCAAGTAATCTGTAAACTAATACAGCACAACCTTCCCCAATTTTCACCCACCCTGATGGCACCAATTGTTAATCTACACCTTTTAGAAAAACCCCTGTCAAAACAGCCCATGTTGATATTTGCCTGAACACAATACTGAAATGGCTGACACACATATGGAAGAATAATTAGATGAACTGAAATAAAACAGAGGTAACCATGCAAAAGCACAGGCTTCTCATGGACACTGCTACAGTCTCCAGCAGAATGAGAAAGAGGTCTGTGTACGTGAATGATTGGGTCGTCAGCTTTAGCATGGAAGTAAGACAGATAGCTATCTTGCACAGTGCCTCTTCACACCCTTAATAAAGGGGAACCAAAGACACATAAATAATATTTTCATCATCTGGAATTTCAGTGCAGAAGTGCAAGGCCCCAGTAGGGAGCTACCGCTATGGGCAGCGACACTTTCGTTTCTCTCCTTCTTACAGGAGGCCCACCTGGAAAACCGGTTCGTCTACAAGACTCACACAGAAGCAGCAGCTGGTGTAGCAGAAATACTGCCTTTTCTATGTACATTTTTCTGATCCTGCACTTACAGCAATTTTTACAAGCAACAAAGCCTGGAAGAATACATTCAGTTTAGTTTAATGAGAGAAATATATCCAATTCAGTTAAATGACATAAAACGTGTAACTACAATAAACTGTGCTCTAAAGCTGTAAGTCATCTCAGACACTAATAGGAAAAGAAATTCAGGTATCTGTCTATAAAATACTTCCACAGAAGAACCAAACAGATGCCCAAAAGTCTTTCCACTGAAATCCAGTAGCAGCTAAACAAGACAGTAATTCCCGTACCTGTGGACCTTCCCTCCATAGAATGGCTTGGTGTGGAAGGTGACTGTAGCAGAATAGCCCGTTCTGGCACAATTGATGTTGACTTTCCCTCCAAGCTCCACCCACGGGATGGTAAGTATCGAGCGAGCATAGGCACTAGGCAGGGTGAAAACATACTCTTCTTCATGTTCCATCAAGTAAAGAACACCTACGTAGGAAGAAGGTTAGAAGTGAAATGATGAAAGTTCACTGATAAGACCTGACAGTCACTGACCAATTACTGTCATCAAAATGTACTTCCACACAGAGCACAACACGCAACTCGCCTTGAAGGAGGCTGCTGTCTGCTAAGACAAAAAGTCTGCCCTCTGGAATAAATTTCTTCCAACAAACATTTTCAAAAGCCCACAATCTGAATGCGTACCCTGGGGTCCTCCGTGCACCAAACGGCTTGTCAGAAAATCTGACTGGACTACTTATTTTGTGTTACTGACAAGCAATAAACTGTCAAAGCTGGAAAAGAAATAACATTTGCTTGCAAAAAGCCATACTGAATATTCAGATGCTCACTCAGGGTCATATCATAATCTCTCCCCAGAAAAAATACGGGCATGGCCAAAGGACTCTTCAGTTCTCCATTCAATCAGACACAACCAGGTCCTCTCCACTAATTTCTTACTGATGCAGTAGTTGGTGGGAGTGAAAGGCGCTCTCTAGGTCTGCCGGGACACAACTAGGCAACATGCTTAAAGAAGTCATCTAGAAATTTCCTGTAAGTTTGCTCCTTCATTTCCAAATGCCTGATTTCCCACACAGCCTTTGCAAAAGTCTTGCATAATCAACGAAAGGCCACCAGGGCCACTGCTTTATTACCACCAAGACCAATGTCTCCACTATGCAGAGAAAATTACTGGCAGTTCTATTTCATTCTGCACAGGTCCCTCCACCCTCAGCATTACGGGGATGTAACTAAAACCAACAACACGCAGCAGCAGTAATTCTTCAAGATTATTTAGAACTACAAAGAAAGTCGCCTGTCTGATCGGATCTTGGCTTCCCCTGGGGTTAAGGATACAGCTCTATCCCCACCATAGCTGCAGTTTGGTCTTTGGGATGACAAAGAACAGGACATAAGACCAGGTAAAGAGCACCTTAAACTTTGCACACAGAATTACATCATGCCAAATATCTGTAGTATATTTTTGATTAGAGTTTTACACTCTTTTGTGTCCCATTTAGTAACTGCCTAAAGGCAAAAATTACAGCTTTGAAAATAATTTTTCACAACAGGTATTGAAAATAACCCACCGCAGGAAGCACTTAGAACCCAGAAATATTTGGGGGGGGGAAATCAAGAAAATTATCTTGACATAGTAATAGTATTTGTTTAGAAACCAGATAAGCTTGAGCCAATTTGCCTTCACCCTGGGGCAGACAGAGGAAGGACACGTTGGTAGTGGTATTGATTAGTTTGTCTATCTGTTTAAGGGAATAACGACACTAATTTTGCAAAGTGATCTGACATGTAATGATGAAAAAGCACTAAATAGGAACAAGGCACTACTACTGCCAACATAAAAATATGCCCTTGATGCTGTATGAAAACACAAACCTAAAAAACATTCAGAATTTAAAAGCACAGAGAGCTCTACCAGAATCATCGTCTTAAATATTGGCTCCAATTAATAGAACCAAACGCAGGCACAGGAAGCTCTGCCACTTGTCACTTCTGCCTTCTGAAACTGTTCCACAGGAAAACAGCTTTTGCAAACGGGAGTAGTTTTACCCAGCTGTTCTCAGGACTTCTGCAACCTCAGCCTGCCAGCAACAACACAGCCAGCGCTTCTACTCCAGCAAGTTTGACACAAATGAGCCGGAGAGTGCAAAAGCACAGAGAAAAGCAATGTCTTAAAAGGACCTTTAATCATTTTGCCTCAGCAAGTCACAAGTTCCTCGTGTCATGTGCTGAACCCTCACCAGCAGGGAATAGCCAGGACACAGCTGGAAACACACACACACAGACACAGACACACACACACAGACACACAGACACAGACACACACACACAGACACACACACACAGACACACACACACAGACACACACACACAGACACACACACACAGACACACACACACAGACACGTTTTGCCTCAACCTTCCTCAGGCAGGTAAAACCAAGCTGCACACACTGCAGGAAGGCTGAACTACCCAACTCACCTGGGACACGCAGCCAGGAAGAACTTTTACTCAAAAAGATGACTCTGCTTATCAAACTCATTAAATGGATGCTATAATAACATTAAATTAATAAAGAACAATCAAGAAGCCTTTTAACTAGATGATGATATTCAAAAAGGATCAAAGAAAGCTAATGGCTACTGATCCAATGTGGAAGGGAAACCTGACAGTCTGCATTTTCCACATAGAGAACTACAACAGGTTTTAGACTCAAAGTCTGTCAGCTTTCCTTTCTCCTCCCCTTACCATTTATTCTCCACCTTCTTCACTACAGTCATGGAGCAGCAACCAGCTGCGGGAAATGGCCTCTGGCGCTGCCCATGAGGTCACGTTTCCCCAGTCTTAATGGTCTAAGCGCAGACACAACCCTCACACAGTCAGAAAGCACAGTCCGCCTGAAAGCATCAGCTTCCAACACGACAGTTTTGGGGGGTTTGTCGTTGTGAGGTTTTTGTGTTTGTTTGGTTGTTTTTTTTTAAAGACAAAAGGTCTAATAGCAGTACGGTGGGCAGGTCTGGCGCTCACTACTAGGGGAGAACCTCACTGTATTTATGAACCACACCTTCACGTGAGCTTTTCCAGAGCCTCCTACTTCCCTGGGCCCAGCCATCCTCCCCTGACCGTCACTGCATGTCCCCACGTGAAAGGAAAACTGCCCTGATAAACACAATTTCCTTCTGGGTTAGTATAGGTTTGCTTCTCTCTCTCTGATGGGATCGATAGCTTTTTTCCTCCATACTCGGGTGGGAGGGACGCAGAGCTCTAATGAACGCTGCCCAGCACGCTGAAAAGCGAACAGCAAATAACAGCAGTGACCTTCAATGTAAATATTTAACCACCACAGCAGGTTAGATATTAAAAACTGAACCCAGCTCTCTTGGCAGTATTTTTAGCACCTGGTAGCATATTTTTTTAATTCCTTAAACACCTGAATAAATACATTTTTAATGAAGTGCTATCTCACTCAAAATATGACTCCAGATCAATAATTATAATCTAAAAAAGAACAAGGGGAAGATGTGAAAAATCCACATCTTGATACTACTTTTAGTATTAAGGTGACTCTTAGTTTTGCATTCCGTCGTTTCCAGAGCCCGCATGCAAAACCTCGTTTAACTGCAGCACCACGAAGACTGTAGCTGCAGGGCCGTGTCTGAACTGAGACCCGTGCTCTCTAAGGGAAGAGGAAGCCAAAATGACAGAGTCAACATTTGTAACTGCTACCACTATTTGCATTCATGCCCTACCCTGCCGAGTTTACATCTTGAGATATTGAAGGCAGAAAATCTAAAATCTAACAGTTATTTTTAAAAGCGTTGTGTGCTCTTAACATCTGCTTATAAGTATCATTACATTGTGACTGATCTTCAAAAGTATCTGCTGGAAAATATGCAGGCTATTTTTCTTCCCTTGCTTCCCCACTGTAAGGGATTATTCATTTTTAGTTTAAAAACGGCTATAAGTAAATATACATGAAAAGTTGCAGGAGACTCTCCCATTTTCAGGAACGTTTCCTCCTCTCACATCAAAGAATTCCTTCAGAAACTGCAAATTCCTTTAAAAAAAAATCTTAAGTATTTATAGGCAGCTATTACGCATGGAAGAATGCACCAGATAAGTACTCTGGGAGGAACGGTGGATTTAGCAATCTAGTTTATTAGAAAAAATCCCAGAGAGAAGGGTGAATTTTTTATAAACAAGCGCGGAATTTTTAAATTCCCCCTTGAAATGTCCTGAACACCACTTACTCCTGCTTTTGACTAAGGCAACGTATTCACAGACATGCTCCTTTCCACGACTCCTCAGCTGCATTAAAGGAAGCGATGTTCACGGCGTATAATTTTCCCTGTTTGACTGTTACATGTCCCTCGCTGATGCTGCAGCTTTGTGAATTGATTTTCCAGTAACACATATTGATGAAACACCCAGAGGAGACTCTCGATCAATAAGCTGCAGAAGAGGCATGTGAAATTTAATGCTTCCCACTGACTGTATGGAGATCAATCCGAACAACAAATGGTACGTGGGACACAAACGGCCGAGGGCAGTTTCCTATTTTAACAAGCTTTTCATACTGTCTGCATTATTCTTAACACGGCACAAACAGGAGTAAGTTATGTATGGGATGAACCCCCCAGGAGCGTAGTGCATCACCAGCCACGCAGATTGGCACAGGAAAACATGAGATGCCAGCACAGGGCTCTTATCGCTTCATAAACCTTCCAACGAGCTGTGCTGCACTGCTCATTTTCCAAAGACTAGAACCATTTGCTAATTTAAGTAATGAGTGCCATGCCAGACGGAAACTGTTCTGAAACCACTGGGCTAAAAAATATTAATACAAAAATTAGCACTAGGGAAATATTTAGGTAGCTCTAGTTTCATGGAGCAGTCAATCTTTGGGACCGGTAAATTAAAAAGTCGCTAGTGCCTCAGGAATAGAAATTATAGACCTGTACATCTATAAACACATACACATATTTGAACAGAAAAAAAACAAGAGAAAAAAAACATTCATTACTCTAATTTAGATTTACCCTGGAAAGAGCACTGAACCTTTTCCCTACCTATGAAATCTTTTCAAGGTTGATTTCAATTTAAAAAATAATTTTTGGAAGCCTATACCTCACTATTTTTTAAAACATTTAAAATAGCAGGAGTGAAAACACAAGACATAACTAGCCAGTTGATAATACAGAGCAATCCACTGAAACATACTTTATGCTGTCTACAAAATTAACCTGTGAATCAAAGGTGATGCTTTTTGTTGGATTTTGCTGCTTTGGAACAACACTCGAGCAGAAAAGGAACGCGCACAGCCCACACTGAGGTGTGCTCAACGCCGCCTTTTCCACTAAGGCATCCTCATCCTACAGCCAGGATCTGTTTGAAGATTCTTTGGACCACTTAAAAAACATTAAATATTTCCATTGACTCTCCCATCCCTTTGCTAATTTAAATCTTAATGTAATCCTATTCATTACACTCCTCCCTCACTCTCTCATTAGTACATAATTAACATTAACCAGAACTGGGGACTTTGCACGCAACATGAATTCTTTTATGCAAAATACCCTCTCTTCTATTCAGGGTAGCTTTCTCATGAGGAAACTCGATGCTGACTCTTCTGAAGAATGGGGGTTTTGTTATATAGCGAAGAAAAAGTTGAGACATTTCATTAGAAAGCCAGATTTAGACCCCTCATAACCACAGATGAAGGGCTAGCATATAAAACAGCTTCTCACACAGATTTCCAGCAGTGCTTTCCTACTCGTTCTGCATCTCTGCAACTGACACTTACTTTGAATCAACAAACAAAAAATCACAGATAGAAAAAAAAAATCTTCAGTCACTTTGAAATGCAACATACACTAAAAATTGTACAATTAAGATACCGAGCCTTTCTACGACAGGACCATACTTGTCCTCAAATCCCCTAATTCTTTAAATTCTTATAGAAGCCTTTGTACTTCCCTGACATCCTATTTCGGGATATCCACTGCTGCTTCTAACAACAAAGCATAAAAAGCAACACGCTCCATACATCTAAGGACATTGTGACAAGTTAAAAAAATAGGCTTCAAAAGCACCACAGAAACATTATCAGCATATTCCTTACACAGTATAGGGCCACAAATTCAGTACTACTGTATTTCTGTAAATAGCCCACTGCAGTAGGAAAAGCTTCATTGAATTGTTTGAAGGCCACACACAAAACTATTCAATAGAGAGCACAGTTTCAAAACAAATCACAGTTTTTTCAACACTAAGGTCACAACTAAGTTACAGGTCAAGCAAAACTGTTCCGATAAATATCTGAACTGGAACAAGATGGTCACTTCCTACCACTGAATTATCCAAAACATTAATTGCAGCTCTCTAATGTCCTGGTTTTTCTTCCCTACATACATCAAATAGTACTGAAGAAATGCACAGGATAATGAAACTACTATACTAACACCAGAATGACTTAAATGAAGTCTCAGAATGGACACAAGTATATTAGAGATATCAAGGAAACTGCTTTTCAAGGGGCATCAAGCAGAATAATCTAAAATCCTTACTGATCCAACAAAAAGTCAAAGGCACCCACATGTACGTAAGTAAACTCCAGCAACAGCCAGAAAAAGGGCTGAATGCTCATAATGGGCAAAAACAGAGGAGGAAGGGACAAGACAAAAACAAAACCAAAACCCAAAAAACCCCACAAAAACAAACAAACAAAACCCAGGGATTTCTATGATTCATGAGATGTCACTGTCTCTTCTCAAAAGCAGGATGAGTCATCCTTCAATCATTCCTGACAAACTCACTTAATCTGGTTTTAACAGTTTCAAATAAGATTCTACAAGTTTACCAGCCAACCTTGTTGTCAGAAAGCTTCTCCTAAATGGCTAACTTTAGTTTCTACCTATCTTAGCTACCTTCATACACCTTCTGACTAACAGCATGTCTTTCCTCAATCTACTCTTTGCTGGACTAACTCACCCCATCTGAAATGCTGCAACGCATAAAATGTCCTTGAATACAAAGAAAATCCTCCAAATTATATTTCACATTAAAAAATTATTAGGCTCTGCATTACCAGACACGTATACACCGACATAGTTTTTCCACATTGTAAGCCCAGCAGGTAATTTTTCTTGGTTCGGCAATCTATTCCCCAGTACTGATGCTGACCTCAATCTAATACACAATTTATACTTATGCAGCACATGAGAAAGAAATGTCTGCAGTAGATTCTAATTTTTGCATAGCTTGACAAATCTACACACCAACTTAATTAGGAAGACTTCCCTAGGACTAAAATAAATTTTTTTAAAAAATTGAAGAAAGTGTAGTTTCAAGTGAAGAAACCGCACTGTGAAGCAAACATTTTAAACCAAGGCTATCAGGTTTAGGCTGGCTGTTTTCAGATGGTAGAAAAGCTTCAGTGGTACGACTTCTTGCTGCCTATTGCCAGTCCTCAACATGCAACAGAAATGCTTGGGCTGCACTGGGGTTTCTCCATCACTTCCCAGAAATGCTGTCACCACGAAGCTGCACGCTTCTGCACCGCTTACATGAACAAAAAAGACAAATGATAACTATAAATTGGTAAACCCAAACTGCCTCCCAAAATGCCCATCGTAAAGACAGCAGCAAACCTTGCAACAAAAAGGTTCACCATTGTAGATGTTCCCCAAGGGGGGGGGATAAGGGGAATAGGGGGGAACTCATTTTCACAAACACACATTAAACAATCCTTGGGGTAGGGAAGTGGTTAATTCCTAGACCCTTTCTCTCTCAAAACTGGGACACATCAGGACTTTGAAGTCTTAAATAATCCCCACAGTAGACCCCCCCAATCCCAGGGAACTGTGTGCACGAGCAACAAGAGAAAGAAATTTCCCTACTCCTACATAATCGTAAGTGACTTTGTGTTTAATTTTATTTCCATTAAATACCTCTCTTCACTGAGAAAAACAGTACTAGAAATGAATATGTACGGGAAAAATGCAGCAAGTGAAACCAATGACTCAGGCTGGCAGTAGTACAGCCAGGAGACAGACAGAAGGACCAATTTCCCTTCTGAGGCTCCCTTCCCAACTTCCTTAACTCTGTATTAAAAGCAAAATACCTAAATCACAGGAAGAAAGAAACAGCCGTGCTGTTATAGATTTTAACTATCACAACCATACCAAATCCAGTAGTAAGGAAGTTTCATGGCTCTTCTACAAAAAAGGGAATATATTGCCATCAGGAAAGAAGCTACTGGAGCCCTTTCTTCTGTTTGAGTTTGCTCCTTAGTTCTAGCTAGTAGGAAGAGCAGAACATATCTGTATGTTTCCACCATAATTGTTTTGTTATTAATAAGCAAAACGAAATCACTCCATTTCCCACTCTACTTTTTTACTGCTTTAATATCATAGTGTTTAACATAATGATGACAAAAAGCAGCATTTACTGTAAGTCGTCCTGGTGCTTCTGAGACCACAGTCTAAAAACTAGTTAAGACAAAACACTGAAAACCATACATAGGCAATTACCCTCAAATGGCAAAAGGGACTGACTAAATTGCTTAGAAACATTACATCAATACATTTGCAGTCAGTAATGATACTGGTACAGGTGTGTTTATCAGTTCAGATCATCCATTAAGAATTCGTTATGATTCCCTGTATTTCTGAATTCATGCTGAGTAATGACTTACCACAAAGCAGACCGTGTATGTATGATATAGCAAATCACGATTTATACCTTGACTACGTGACTTGCTATAAAGCTTGAGATAATACACCAACTTTGTAAACACTACAGAAACCATGATTCTTTGCAGAAACTATGAAAAAAAATAATGTTAGGCTTAAGTAAAAACATGTTTTTTCCTATTGCTTTGCTCCAGTTGTGAAACTGTCCCATACGGAATCGCCTATTACTTTAAAAGTGAGCAAGACAAATGAAAATGTTCTTACAGAATACACTGTCAGTAGCCATTTGCTACTACAATTTAACATATGACTGTACTTCAGATATAATTAACAGTCTCACAAAAATGTAAGCACACGTTTATATACATAATGCGTGTCTTGCATTCTGTCTGGACAGAAAAAAGTTTTATGAGCCCTACAGTTTTAATTCCAAACTTCACAAAAGCAAGTAGCCACAAGGTTCAAATGAAAGGTCAGAGGGAGAGCAAGCAGGAAAATCTCTGGATTGCTGGTGTGTTGGCACCCACAACATTAGCTCAAAAAAAGAAGATAAAAGCACGTTTCTTACCTTCACCTACCATAGAAACACCTATTGACATGCCCATAAACTTGCTTTTGGTCCATACGTGAGCGTTCACACACATTTTCTTCTCTTTGCATTCACAGTAAAAGCAAGACACCGGTGGATGATGGGATACTTGTTCAGCTACAAACCTCAGCTTGTAGCAAGTGGACTGGTCCTGGCCAAACTCCTTGGTGGGGTCCTTAGAAACCGTGGAGGCACCGTTAGTTCTGAATGCTTTCACTTTATCTTTAGGCACATCCCACGAGCAATGAAACGTTTCACCAATTATAGGGTTATAGGGCTTCTTGGCAACCGCTCCCTTTCGGCCTTCGTGAAAAGCTGTTAGATAATACTCCACAAAGCAGATAATTCTTTCCTCGGGAGTGGCTCCAGCTGCAATTGACAAAAACAGGTCTGGATGGGCCATGAAATTTGCATACATCTCCAGCAGGGATCTTTTCTCCAAAATAAATGTTGGAAGCACTACCTGTATGCAAAGCAGACAAAGGCAGGTATGATTTCCCCATGATCATACTACCACGGGGGAAGGGGGGGGGAGAACAGTTAAGACAGCTGCAATTCTGGCCCTGCCAAGTTTCAGGACAGGATATTTGCCTCCCCTGCCACAGCAATTTCATTTTCTTTGCAGTGTAAATGATGAGCAAAGGAAAAAGCAGCAGCCTTGACAGCCACACAGGCTGCTTCCTATTTCATTACGATTCTAAACAGCAGCTCACACAATAGGAATGGGCTGTTCGGCTGGCATGGAAATTTGCCTTTTCCTCTCCTCTCAGTTAACAAGCCACCTATTGTTCTCCTTGTTTACAGGACATAAAACCACACTTTGATGTAAATTAATTTACATCAAACATCAACAAACCCAACTAATCGTAACCCTCCAAAAAGGGCAGGGCACACCCTCCCAAACCACCAGAAGACGAATACTTTATATAAACATACACATCACCAACCTGTAAGTGGTGGACAGTGCAAGGGGTACATCGACCCATTCTGTCAAACAACTGGGCTCCCAGCTTCACTCCTGGGCCCCTGACCACCCACTGTGTACGTATTAGGTCCCTTGTAGCCTCTAACAAACCAAGTCAACTAGATCCAACCAAAACCAAATCTCAGGCGTGTTTCCAAGGATAAAACCATGCCAAGGATTCCTCCCAAGAGGCAGGAAAGCCCTCCAGGTTTGATTCCCTCTGCCCTACACTGTCATCCCTCCCTCCCACCTCCCAAGTCAAATCCCTTGTCACCTCTAGGCTCTCCTGTCACCTCCAGGCACATGGCACATCCCCTCAATTTGAGATCATACTGTACTACTGTGGTGGGCCCCTGCACGCCGTCACCTTATTCCAGACAAGTAGAAACAAACAAAAACTGCACAAACTGTTACATTAATATCCTGGGACTACAGATGCTTCAGGGGGGGCAGAAAAAATCTGGGACTGAGCAGCAGGCAGTCTGCACTGGAGGCAGTCTGCACTGGAGTGATTTGGATGGAGTCTCAAGTGGCTCATCTAGCAACGCAGATGTTCCCAAAGTCACCCACTTAGGAATAACATTTTGTTAAAGTTTTCAGTGAAACACCCTGGAGTGAGCTGCAAGACAGACAGGGGCTACAGGACCTAAAATAATTTATTTCTCTCCATTCTTTCTCCCTCACTCTCCACACCTTGTGCAGGACCGTCCCGGGGAGCTGAGAGGTTGCTCCTGCATGACCAGCAAGGAACTGCTGGCACACACAACCATGTCTACAGTCAAAGTGGCTCAATGATGACAGATGCAGACCACCAGCTGTCCCCTCTTAAAGCAATTCTTCTGCTTTCCTCTTTAATTCTTCATTGCGTTTACTTTTTTCCTTTCCCAAAAGCAAGGGTTATTTACAGCAGGCAGGGAGCCACACTTCAAACACACACATTTGCTCTCCCCCCTGCTGCCCCAGCTTGCTATTCTGAGTGGGACCAAAGCACAGTTCAGTCCTTTTGGATCCCATGGATAATGAAATAGAAGCTGTCAAACTTTTATTCATCATTTAGTTCTTTTCAAAGAAAACTTGTAAACATGAAAAAAAATTCCAGTCACAATGGCTCAAACGCAGTCTTACTACCTACACAGTAAGTCAACATACCACGACTGCAAAAAAAAAAAAAAAAACCAACAGATCACCACTCCATTTGGTAACATACATGCTCATTTGCTTTTTTCTTCTGTATATTATTTACACACATATAGGCTTTTATAGGCTAATAACTTTTACAAGTTTAGATATAAATCAAGCAAAGTTCCATCTGTAATATTCCTGTGACTCTACTCTGTAAGCCTTGAGGACTCTACGTGGTCTCTGTTACCAACCTAATGAGGCTCCAAAAGATGCAAGAGACTTAATTTTACACTATGAGTGGCAAACTACTGAGTGTTAGAGACAGCCTACAGTCCCCATGCTGGTGTGATAGCGAGGGGCTGAGGAGATTGGTTTTTAGAAGTGAAATCTAAAACTTTGAAAGGCGAAGTGGAAAGGCAGTGGATTTTCTTACGGTATTTTTAGCTCTTTAAACAATTTCATCTTACTTGCAACATTCTTATCCTGACCAATACTCATTACCCAATATAACCTTAAAAAAATGCAATTCAGCATTACTGAACCTCAATACAGGATCTCATTTTAATATAAATTGCACACTCAAAGACCAGGTTATCAAGGGGGAGACTGACAGCAAAACCTAGAAAAAAAACCCCATCACTTGTGTCTCGAAATACTAGTACTATCATGAGTTCACTGCACAGACTTGAAAGGGCAGGGAAACTCATTTGAATAAACAGCACTCTGCATCTCGTTATGTCCAAGAGGCTATCTCTAAAAAGAGTGACCTTTATTAGTTCAAATGGAGGAGCAGGAAAGAAAACTGTGGACCATACTTAAAATGATGCAAATTTTATGGTACAACATTAAGACTGCTGTGGTTTCATCCTGTTGACTTGATCACCTAGCCCCCATATCTACTCTCTCAAGCACTAGCTGTGTGCTTTGCAGCTACATACTTAACACAGCTATGCCAACATAGCCATTAAATGAGATGTTCTGAACCAGGGGACAGTTATTACTCAGTTTCAAGAATCAATTTAAAATCTGAATAAAGCTTGAACTCCAGCTCAAATTATCCTGCTTTAAAAGCCCAACTAAAATGGAAACTACATCTTAATTGTAGCAGGAAAGGACCCACTGCAAAACAGAGAATAATTCAACTGTTCCCTCAAAAGGAGGCAGAACTACAGATGAAAAATATTTGAGTTTTTAAGCTTAGACAACTCCCGTATTACAAAAGATGCCTAGAAAACATTGCCTTTTACTAATCTCATTGCCTGAAAGTTTCAATAGGCAACCACCACAAACATAATTAAAAAAAAAAATCACACAAGTCTTTTTTTTTTTTTTGTACTTAGCCGTATCTTGATTTCTGCAGAAATAAGCAAAATAGAAATAAACAAATTTGGAAGCGTACGGCATTCTTCTTGCCTGCATTGGACCATCATGCACTTGTGCTAGTACTCTAGCTTCAAAAGGAATGAGGTTTTCAACTCTTCTGCAGCCAAACAGAATGCACTGGCCATAGCACCTATGTTCTTTACATTGGTTTTGGACTACAACTTCTTTTTTTTTTGTATTTGCCTAAAAAGTGAAAACTGCCTAATTTTTTTCCTCTGAGAAAAAGCTGGCACGGCAACCAAATGGACAAAAGAATCTCTCTAGAATAAATACCAAGTTGCCAAAGTCTGAAGCAAAAAATCTCCTGATTGCATTCTAAAATGTTAGAATAATTTCTGTTCTTATTCACTCTCACACCTCATGTGACAAGGAAGCAGTTTGACAGGCATTCTTCACTTTTCATTGAGGTTCAAAAGACTATATTGGTTCAAAGCTTGGCCATAACCTCCTAGGTTTGAATTCACCTGTACTTAATTAGATCTGAATGCAACTGAGAAAAGTAAGAGCATGACTTCTTACGAACAGAGATATTTATCCCCCCTACTATTTACTGTGAGGCAAAACTTGGGTGTCAGCACCACTCCCTACATTTTTCAGACATCTGACCAAGGTACACCATGCTGAGATGTCCTTCTCTTAGAGGTACAAAAGCTTTCCACTGTCATCTGTGTCACTGTGGAAATAAAACAGGCTCTTTTCATCCCACTTGTATTTTAAAATTGCAAGGTAAAAGTATACTGACAAGCAAATTCAAAACTTAAGACATCATGAACATACTACAATATTAATTTACAACAGGTTGATATTCTGCAGAATTATTGGCAGCCCTTCTACACAGAATGGCAGCCCTTTATTTTTAGCACATATTAACTACGTAGGGAACGTAAGGGAATGCGGGGGAGTCATCACCCATCTGTACAAACTGTTAGCATTAATTTCAATCCATTAGATGCCATTTGCCAACACATTTATCAGGCTGTCAGTGATTTTTGGCACTATTTTTCATTTTTTAAAAGTCCATAGAACAAACAATTTAGAAACTTATTTTCTTCCCCAGCAATTTCAATTTTAAATGAGGTTTAAAGTCCTAGCCCAGTCCAAAGCATTAGTTTTGTACTGTTCTGCTGCTGTGAACTGCTCCCCCACCCAACTCTCTCTAGCAGCTATTGAAGTCTATTTGGCCACCACAGAGCCTAGCCTGTTCTAGCAAATCCCCATGCAGATTTATTGCTTCATTGCAGGTGTTTTCCTTCACAGCAGATTTTTTACTGCTTAACCCCTCATTAAAAGGCATGGCAGCACGGCACATTTCAAAAGTGAAGCACCTCTGCAACATTAAATGTGGCTATCGTCACTGTGGGAAATTCACGTCAGCACAGGCGAGGCCAACAGTAACATAAGCAAGCACACCCCATAGGAAAAGGAAAAGATGATGTTTCCTCTGATACGGTACATGAAGGTAACGATTATGCATCCAGAACCAAAAGCCACCAAGGGCTCAGAAGAGCTGTTTGTTCACGTGTGTATCATGTTACAATCCATAGCTCACAAAATGAACCAAATAAACAACCCTAGGGAAGAAGGCACAGGAAAACATGGTAACATATAAAACATCCTCTGATATTAGCAACTACTGTGCCACAACCACCTCCAGCAGAAGCTGACTAGCATCTGAATTTCAGAGGAATAATGAAAAATAAGAAGAGGTGCAGCCAACAAACCAAGCTTTATCGTCACACGTCTGTGGCCCTAAGGGCCTCATGTCAGGAAGCAAAGTTAATAAAAAAAGCAGCCAGCTGTCTTGTAATTTATTTTTTTTAAATCCGCAAAATGGTCAGAAAAGTGATGTGCACATGTGGCATGTCTCATTAATACTCATCATATGTGTATTCGTGCATCACACAGACTAGAGATAGATCTAACTCTGCCATATGCCTCTTCCTCTTCAGACTGTGGGCATTATATACACACATTCATGCATGCTAGTATTTTGCCATACTGTAGATCTGATAATATTCATCACTATCCTCAAAAACTGTGCTCTATGAACACTATGTAAGAAACAGGTTAGCATATATATTTACCTTCCTACTTATAAGTGTCTACACTTCTCTTATTTACATTAACTGTGTGTCTTTGGGGTTTTTGCCTCCTCTGCCGTGACAAAAAGATGACACTGGAAATCAGGGAAGAAAAATCTTGTTCGTCACCAAAGACAAAACGTTTTGAAGACACAAGAACAACAGATAAGGAATCTTAGTCTAGTTTAAACATTATGGACTGAGACAGCCTCAGCAAACCAACACAGAAAAGAGGAAGAGCTATGAAAAATTGAGGAATTTAAGAAAGACAAAACCAAAAATGAACTGTACATAACCCCAGACATACTAAGAACTGACAGGTATAAATTATTCACAAATGAAATAATGAAACTTGTTCTATTTAGAACAAAGCATTTCCGTGCAGCTATTCAAGAGTTATACTTAGCAACAGATCACGGGATTGCTCAGTCTTAAAAAAGGTAGGTATCTTTAAATACTGTCAATTGTTCCCGAGGAAGCAGAAGAGACTATATTGAGAAAGCCTTATTTTGTAAGAAAGTGATAGTAAAAATACATTTTGATTAGTATGTAAGATCAAAAGGAAAGCAGATGAACTCTTCAGAATATCAAAATGCCCATGAGAAGAGTCTCCTGCATAGCTGCTTCATGCACAAGGGTAATTCTCTGGTCATTCCAAACTTTTTTTTATTTGTGGAGGGAGCTAGTCAGACTGAGCTCTTCTTATTTGTGGAAGTGGGTTATAGGGATTTTATTTGCCTTTTTTTTTTAAAGGAGAAAACCTTTGTGGAAGGAAAGGGTATTCCATATCTTTACAAAAATCCACTTGATTATTAAGTCCCATGAGAAGGTTTCACTGGAATGTAGGACTATTCAAAAAGAGGCATTCCCTGCTCCCAGAACACCTACCACATTTCCAAAACTCTAAGGACTTATGGGAAATTTCTCAGATGCCATAACTTCTCTGATCATATCAGTATGGATAAGCTCATAACAACACCGGATCCAGGACCAGAAGGATGCACAGAAGGTTAAACTGGTGAGCGGCTTAGTACAGACAAGAACAGTGATACACTGAAGACCAATTTCTTTACCATCGTCTTGGCTTTTTTTTTTTAAGTTGCCAAGTAATTAAATGGAATCCAATCCACAAAGCAGTAACTTATCTCCTTCATCCATAAAACTGACATTACGGTTCCTCAAACGCTCAGTGCACCCTGACTTAACATACATGTGGGATACATACACAATATATGGTTGCTCTGAAAGACTTATTAAGACTTATTAAAAAAAAAAAATAAGCATTTTGGAGGTTTTTTCTTCTTCTTTTCTCTCTCCCTTCCCCCTGACCCTGTCCCCTCCACCCCTAAAATATCTGATGTGGTCACTTCATGCGAAAGCCTGCCTAGCAGGAGACAGCACTCCATGGCTCTCTAGAACCACACCTTTATGAAGACGCAAACTTCACTGTCCATGAGGGCAAAACATGCTACAGGAATCACAGAGGTGCATGTGGGGACACACACTCACACACACAGAAGGATGAGAAGAAAAAAGAATGATCAATTGTAGAGGAGATACAGTGTCCATACCCTGGTAAGGTCCATGCCAAGTTTGAGCTGAGAGATGAGATGGAGAATTACACTACGTTGATCATCCATGACTCCTAAATCCTCCTCTTCGTTATCTTCAGTATCTGTCATTTCATCTTCAACTAGGATCAACTCAGAAGCTGAATGCTGAAATGAAAAGAAACATAACCAACTGTGCAAAAAGATAGTGTGGTTTTTTTACTACATATGTTTAAAAACGGAGCTGCCTCAACGCAACCAAAGACAGCCTCTGTTAAAACCAAGAGAAGATACAAATTTAAAATAAAAAAATGCAGTGATGGGTTCATAGAGCATTTTGATCCTATCCTCAGGACAAGAGTGGTGAGTATCAGACGCTACTTTACACATTATCTTCTCATAATTATATTGCAGTGCTGCCAGACAAAAATCACAGCATATTAAATTAACAGATCTTCTATTTATTAAATAGAAGTACACAGTTGAAAATGAGTCTTTAAGAGTTTGCTTCATAAATCTCTCCAGCAAATATTCATACTTCACACGTAGATGTTGCGTGACCTGATTTCACACTATATTTCTCCTTCCCTCTCTCCAACTTCCAAGTTACATATCTAAGAAAGTCAGGACTATTAACCGAAGGAGATTAATTATAGTCGTCTTTTTAAGTACACATCTTTGGGGAAAAAAAAAAACAAAACAAAAAACAAACCACAAACCAAAACAACAAAGACATTAGATTTTGGGGGGTTAAGGCAATGCCATGAATCTTTATGACATCTGCAACATTTCACTGCTTCGCAGCACAACAATGCCAATACTGCCCGGTTTCCAGACATACTAGCTGAAGATCAGGAGAGAAACATCATGCCATCTCCTTTCAAGAGGAACTTTACAACAGAAAGGGATGATGATTTGTGATTCTTTATTTCCCCTCAGGGTTTACAAGATATTACTAACGATAACGCAAACAAGTGGTAGTTACTTTGTTCAGTCCATTGAAACCACTCTGCAAGCCTTCCAGATATATATTCAGGTAAGTTTTTTGTACTTTAAAGAAAAAGTTAGGATATATAGCTGAAACATTTATGGTCCAGTATTTCATTATTCCCCAAAGTTTCCATGCTGTAAATGAGACAACACTACCTGCAAAAGTTAGCATTCCTTCATGCTAAGCAGGATTTTTGCAGAAACTGCTAGTTCATTACGTAAAATGAGAAATTTTTCATCTCACTGTGAAAGTCCTTGCAACTGAGAAGTTTCATTAAAACCAGCTGATAGTCAGAATTAGGTTTCAAAGAAATATTTCTGAATGATTACATTAGAGACCCCTCAGGTGAACAGCAGCTTGTGTAAGGAGAGTGTCTCTTAAATTTAGTTACTACAGATGTTTCCGAGATTTGAATAAAGTGTTTTCTCTTTCTCTCTTTTTTTCTTTTTCTCTTTCTCTCTTTTTATCTTTTTTTTTTTTTTTTTAATTAAATAAATGTTTAGGTAACTACTCCCAAAAGAATAGCTATTTGGTGAAATCCAAGGACATTTGAAAGACACTTTACAATTACTTTATTTAGAAAGTAGAATATGTAGATTATGTAAAACAGAATCTGGTGAGCTGTAACCTGAACAGCTTGGAGCTTTTCAAAAGGACAAATCCACATTTTCTTCTTCCCACTTCCTCAGAATATAAAAGGGTAGAACAATAAGCCCTTTCCCTCCCAAAATGCACAGTATTATTATCCAACTGACACCTTACTGACAACTTCAATTAACATAAAACCTGCCAACCTCATACAAAATTATCAGCTGGGGAGACATAAAGCACTGCAGCTTGGCTCAGTTGTGCAGTCTACGATTCATTTGGAAGGAGCGTGGAAAAAGCAGTATCAGAACTTACAGGAGATGCTTCCACGGGAGGTTTCCCTTTGATCCAGCTTGACCTCATTGAGAGCACTGAGCTACCGAATAAGCACTGCCGCTTCTGTTACTGCCATGAACCGAGCTCGCGGCAAACAATTTTAGAAAAAAAAAAACAAGGGACCCCCCCCTGCTTGCCCCCCCCCCCGCTCTTTTTTTTTTTTTTTTTTTTCCTTTTTTTTTGGCTATCCAACGAGTTGGAGAGTGTGCGCTGGATGTCAATCTGCTCCTCGCGTTTCTAGTCACATGGCATTGAGATCAGTCAGCTTAACTGTACACAGCTCCGACTGGGAAATGGTGCTGCTGTTTCCCAAAGGATATCCTGGTGGGCTGGGGGCAGGAGGGAGGGGGCACGAGTGTGTGCCTAAGCGTGCAGGAGTGTGAGAATGAGAGAGAGAGAGAACATACTAGCAGGTAACAAGCGTTCAAGTGAACGTGTAACAGCTGCGTAACCTTTAGTTAACAGCATCAGAAAATAAACAAATTACACGTCGACAAGTTCATGGGCTAAATCATGTATGAAGAATTTTCTTTTTCCCCTGAAGACTGCACATTCAGCCAGGGACAGAAAATCCTTTTTTTTTCCTGCTAAAATAGGTATTAGGTTTTTCAATGCCTTTCAAAGTGTTAGTAACAAAATAGCAACTGCCTCTCATTGCTACTTTACAAAACCTGCATGGCGAGGGCAAGCAACCCTGTACACAGCTCAGGTGCTCAGGAAAGTAGTGTTTGCATTGATTTCAATGAAAGACTTTCTGCTCATCAGGGAGGATAAGTACAATGTAACATTAGGATCAAGCATGTTTAATGACCATTCTGCAATAAGGAGTATAATTTTAATTATCTTAACTATCCCATATTTTAAGAGCATGTGCAAGGGCACCAAAAATCCCCCAACTCTACTATTAGAGTTATCAACATACTAGTGACTTCCAGAGCATGCAGAATGACATCAGTTGTCTGCACCTCTTCTCACTTTCCAAGAAAATAAGAACTTAAGTAGCAGTTTACAATTTATGTCACAGGAACTGACAGCAGTCATCTTCAGTAAGCAATATCCTTTCTGTATTTTCCTCTCTTCTCATTAGTTGTTCTAGGTAATTACTGAATTACTTTTTAAGAGCACAGAAAATAGACATTTCTTTTTTAAGTATTTTCTTTAAAAAACCAACCAGGTAAGCACAACATAGGGTGTGTGGACATAGAGCCACAAAATACAAAGCTACTGTATCTTTAAAGGGTCATAAAAGTCCAATCAGGTTTTTAATTCTTTTTCTTTCAACAGAAATAGTACGTGGTTTAGTAGTAACCGATGCGTAAGCATGCAGTAGCATGCAGAAGATTATGTTGAGTGATTATCCTTTAATGGCAGCTTTTCTGAATTACATACATTCCCCTCCCCCCAAAATATATCGGCAAAGCTGAAGTAGGAAAGCAGTGATTTGCTCCATTCCTGCGTGGTCAGAGCATAATGTAAAAGCTTGAGCTGTGCGCAGCTCAGCCTGGGAACGAACAGCACAGCTAGGCTTAGGTGCTAACCCTGAGAATCAAATACTGAACCAGTTACAAACAAGCACCAAAAAGAGGCTTATATTTAAAATAATTTTAATCAAAATTAGTTTCCAACACTGGGCTGATGCACCATGATTTCTCAGAAAAATCTGAATGGGAAACAACAAATCATTTCTAGAAACCCCATGAAAGGATTCACTTCAAAGTTTAAAGGCCAAAGATACGAAAACACACACTGGCAGATATCTATTTTAAACAGGACACTTCATTAGAACTGGGATTGATTAATTTAGAGAGGTCATCTGCTGGGATACGAAACGGATATTCTAGTCAGCAGCCTTCATCAGAAAACATGCCGATTCTTTTTTAACAGCTGAAACCTGTAAGGAAAGAAATTGTTTCTGAAGGAATCATTCTGTATTTCAAAAAAATGTCTTCAGGAAAAAGACACTTTGACAAGGCTGGGATAGAATCAGAGTGTTAAAAGCTATGTTTCTGTCAAAGGGCAAACCTGCCTCTGTTCTTCCAAAGCCTCTTCCACAAGTTAATTTTTCAAATTGAACTAGGTCAGTTATAAGGCTCAGAGCTTGGTCTTCCAACATACTTCACAAACCACATCATGCAACAGTACTGTCAAGCACCACGTGGATCTCATCTTGTTAATTTGTTGGGGGTGGGGGAGAGAAAGGAACATACAGCATCACAGTATCATTTAGGTTGGAATGGACCTCTTGAGATCATCTTGTCCCACACCCTGCTCAAGCAGGGACACCTAGAACTAGTTGCCGAGGACTGAGTCCAGCTAGGTTTTGAATATCTCCAAGGATGCAGACTCCACAACCTCTCTGGGCAACCCGTGCCAGTGTTTGACTATCTTCACAGCAAAAAAGTGTTTTCTGATGTTCTGATTGACTTCATGTGCCCACTGCCTCTTGTCCTGTCACTGGGCTCTATTGAGAAGAATCTGGCTCCCTGTTCTTCACTCCCTCCCATCAGGTATTTATATACATTCATAAGATCCCTCCAAGCCTCTCTTCTCCAGGCTGAACAGTCCCAGCTCTCTCCACCTCTCCTCACATGAAGGACACAGCATCTTTGGGGACCTGTGCTAGACTCACTCCAGTAAGTCCATGGCTCTCTTACACTGGGGAGCCCAGAACTGCACACAGCACCACAGATGTGGCCTCACCGGTGTCAAGTAGAGGGGAAGGATCACCTCAGATAGGGGGCTCAGATATCCCTGGATGCAGGACTTTGCATTTCCCTGTGTTGAACTTAGAATCAGAATTGTTTAGGTTGGAAAAGACCTTTAAGATCATCAAGTCCGACCCCTAACCTAGCACTGTGAAGTCCACCACTAAACCATGTCCCTAAGCACCACATCTACAAGCCTTTTAAATACCTCCAGGGAGCGAGACTCAACCACTTCCTTGGGCAGCCTCTTCCAATGCTTGACAACCCTTTTGGTGAAAAAAAATTTTCCTAATATCCAATCTAAACCTCTCCTGGCGCAACTTGATGAGATTACTCTCTGTCCAGCCTGTCAGTGTCCCTCTCCACAGCAGCACAAAGCCACTCCTCCCATTTTTTTTTTTTTTATCATCTACAAACTTGCTGAGGGTGCACTCTGCCTCAATGTCCAGATCATTAATGAAGATGTTGAACAGTATTGACCCCTGGGCTATGCCACTAGTGACTGGCCTCTGACTGGACCTTGTATTACTGATCACAACCCTCTGAGC